AAAAACTGACACTGGTCAAATGGCCTCCTGCCGTGTCCATGTCCATGCCATATCCTTGCTGTGTCCATGCCATGTTTGGGCCAGTGCCATTTCTGTGCCATGTCTGCGTCAACGCTGTGTCTAAAATTTAGACATGGAATTAAACAAAATCTGTAAAATGGGAGAGGGAGTGGGGGAGGGGGCGTGGGGATGGGGAAGGGATGCCAATTTATTTTTAATTTGGTGGAATATTATCCAACGGCAGATTTGTGAATCTGATTAAAAAAGAGATTATGTTATTGTGTCTCTTTGTCTCCGGCACCTTGATTGGGTTTTCGTCACAGATTGTGCACCTAATCCCAACCTGATGGGAATCACACACACACACATAAAATGCACACCGACATACACATTAATATAGGTCACAGACTATCACTGCCTCTACTCCTTCCACAATGAAGCCAACTTCATAATAATAACAATAATAATCCTTGCATTTGATATGGAGTCCTGTAGCTCAGTGGTTAGAGCACTCGCCTTGCAAGCGAGACACCTGGGTTCAATTCCAGACAGGGCAAAACCTTGGGCAAGTTTCCTTACTCCACATGCCTAATAATAATCCCTCCAAAACAAAACAATAATAAATTGGTCATTTTTAATCCACGACTGTTTGTGGGATACTGCTGTGCACAATTAGTTGCCGCGTTTCGCCCACAAATATACAGTCAATTCACTTTACAGTCTATTCTGTGAAGCACTTTGAGACGTCGAGAAGACGTGAAAAGCACTATATCAAATGCAAGGATTATTATATTTATTATTATTGTATAGCCACTTATCACATTGTCAAAATGTCTCAAAGTGCTTTACAAAGTGTAGCGATTGTGTAATTTGTAGGCAAATGCGACAGCCAGTTTGCATACAGCAAAGGCCCCCAAACAGCCCCCCAAACACCCTCAATCCATGAGTGATGGATTTTATCTGGGGGATTGTTGGCCCAGACACCGAGAGAGAAACTTCCGTCTCTTTTCAAATTGACTTTTAATGTCCACCTGGACAGGCATAGACAGAACCTCGGTTTAACTAAGGACAGCAACTCTGACTATGCAGCCACTGCACTGGAGCGTCAAAGTGAACAGTGATCTCAAAGTCCCAATGTGGGTTCAATGAGTGAGTGAGTGAATTACGGAGGAAGGGAGTGAATATGAATGAGTGACAGAGGGAGGGAGTGTGAGTGAGTGCATACGAGTGAGTGTTTTGCACACAGGGTTTAATCCAAGTGAGGGTACTGTATAGATGCAGGTTTGGATCTGCATCCAGGAAAGCAATGGGAACATAGTGCAGAATTTACTTACAGGCAGACATGGTGGTTGGGGGATGGCTGAGGGAAGGAAAGATTTTATTTCAGACACTCAGTGAATGGAAACAGATCCCTTATGTCCTCTCTCTGTGATTAAACTAAGTGCTTTACACTGCAGAGGTGGGAGTGATGAGGCAGATGACAGTGGGGTGGGGAATGACTGACCGACACAAGCAAGTCTCAGCTTGAGATGGTCCTTAATTCACTCGGATCTCCACTACCTGTTCTGGTGACCCTCTTTGCGGCAATGCTATGTGAAAAATTACCTGCCACGTTCGCCCACAAATCACATGATCACTTCACTTTACAGTGAATCCTGTGAAAGGCTTTGAGACATCCTAACATGAAAGGCACAATGTCACATGTAAGTATTATTATTATAATTATAATAATTATTAGGTAGAGAATGGCTCAAAGAGCTCCACAAAGTTACTGTGAATTATGGTGACTATGTTTTGTGAGCGAACGCAGCAGCCAATTTGCACACAGCAACATCCCACAAGCCGTGGAGTGAATGACTGATTTTACTTAGGGGATTGTTGGCCAGGACACGAAGAAAGAGACTCTTAAGCCCATTAATGTATTTCTGTGTGTCAGATATCCGGCTGATTACAGTGATGGGTTTTCATGTGTTTCACTTTTCCAAAAGTGCTGCGACATCTTTAGCTTCCGCCTGAACGGGCACCAAGGGGACCTTAGTTTAACATCTCATCCAAAAGATGGCACCTCTGATAATGTGGCACTCCTCCCAGCACTGGAGCATCATTTTGGACTGTGAGCTCAAGTGTCTGACGTACAGCTTGAATCCACAATCTTCTGACTCAGAGGCAAGAGTGCGAGCGACTGAGCCAGGCTGACAGTATGTTACACTGACATCTAAATAATTCCAAGGCTCCTTCAAATTCTCTCCCCCCACTTCTCTCTAGAGACTAATGCCGGATGAGATGTGCCGTGGAGTAATTATGAGTATTAATTTTTACTGACTGTGGTTACAGAAAGGTCTTCTTCAGATTAGAGGAGACAAACAATAAGACAGGATTAGCAGAGTGAACAGCCAAGGGAGACCTTTTTGCAGTCAAAGAATCTTTTTTTCCAGAATTGGGTCATTGTAAGAAAATTCAGCTCTTGGCTGGGTCAGGTGGTGTGTGTTTTTGTGTTGGGTTGGTGGTCAAGGCGGAATATACCATGTGAGGAACAGCATTAATTTCATTATTTCCTCCCCCTATAAGAGAGAGGGCGAGGGAACAGAGACGTAGAGGAAAGGGGAATAGGAGGGATGGAAGTTTGTGAGGATTAACTTGCTCCCACGTAGTCTACAAAATACACAGTCACAACACTTTGCAGTATAGTGAAGCGTTTTGAGACGTCCTCCCAACATGATAAGGGGCTGAACAAACTTCAATGCTTATATGACTATCTGCATCCTCAGGCTGCTGAGACCCTCATTCATGCTTTCATTATGTCCCGGCTTTACTTCGCTAACTCCTTGTTTGCCGAACTTCCCAACTCTCCCCTCCACAGGCTGAAGATTATTCAGAACCCTGCAGCTCATGTCCTCACCCACACTAGGCTCCGTGAACTGATCACCCCATCCTCACCCGATTTTATGGGCTCCCCATTCCCCAGAGTATCGAGTTCAAGATCCTTGTCCTCATCTTTACAACGCTCCAAGGTGTTTCTCCTCCCGACCCCCTACCTCTGCAACCTGCTAAAACCTTACCAACCTCTCCGCTTGGCTTGCTCCATGTCCTCCGCCCTACCTGCCCCACCACCAGCAGTTGGGCTTTCAGCCTTTCTGCCCCCACTCTTTGGAACTCCATCCCGGAGTCCCTCTACATCGCCCCCCAACCCCCTCCCACCCCACACTCTCTTGCCCCCTTGGAGGCCCATCTGAGACTCGCCTCTTTGACCAGTCAACCTCCCACCCCACATTCCCATTGCCCTCCACCCCTCTTCAAGGCTGTTTGCGGGATGTTGCTGTGCGCAACTCGAGTGTCCCGTTCACAAAATCCTGCAAAGTGCTTCGGAGACCGCCTTTGAGGGTACGTCAAACCTTAGGGTTCAATCAAACTAATAGTAATCAATAATTCTGGTGGCACCTGAAACCTCCAAGGCACAACTGTGTGTGTGTGTTTATGTGTGTGTGTGTGTTTGTGTGTTTATATGTGTGTGTGTGTTTATGTGTGTGTGTGTGTTTATGTGTGTTTATGTGTGTGTGTTTATGTGTGTGTGTTTATGTGTATGTGTGTGTGTTTGTATGTATAGTGTGTGTTTGTGTGTGTGTTTATGTGTGTGTGTTTGTGTTTATGTGTGTGTTTGTGTGTGTGTTTATGTGTGTGTGTGTATATGTGTGTGTGTGTATCGGTGTGTGTGTGTATATGTGTGTGTGTGTGTGTATATGTGTGTGTGTGTGTATATGTGTGTGTGTCGGTGTGTGTGTGTGTATGTGTGTCGGTGTGTGTGTGTATATGTATCGGTGTGTGTGTGTATATGTGTGTGTGTGTATATGTATATGTGTCGGTGTGTGTGTGTATATGTGTGTGTGTGTATGTGTCGGTGTGTGTGTGTATATGTGTGTGTGTGTGTGTATATGTGTATGTGTCGGTGTGTGTGTGTATATGTGTGTGTCGGTGTGTGTGTGTGTGTATATGTGTCGGTGTGTGTGTGTATATGTGTGTGTGTGTATATGTGTATGTGTCGGTGTGTGTGTGTATATGTGTATGTGTCGGTGTGTGTGTGTATATGTGTATGTATGTGTGTATGTGTATGTGTCGGTGTGTGTGTGTATATGTGTGTGTCGGTGTGTGTGTGTGTATATGTGTGTGTGTGTGTATATGTGTATGTGTCGGTGTGTGTGTGTATATGTGTGTGTCGGTGTGTGTGTATGTGTGTGTGTGTCGGTGTGTATGTGTGTATATGTGTATGTGTATGTGTCGGTGTGTGTGTGTGTATATATGTGTGTGTCGGTGGTGCTGATCTGTGTCAGACCACAGGTCGGGGTTCCCGGGCACTGGAGGACAGCAGTTGCGCGTCAGAGACTTCTTGGGTTTCAACGTTGTGCGTTTATTTCCAGAGAGGAATGTTCCGCCCGGAGTTACCATTGGCTGTGGCTCAGAGGGGCAGCGAGAGAGGCTCTGCCCCACACACACACACACACACACACAGCGGGAGGATCACCGCCCGCTTCCCAGTCACATTCCTGGTCCCCCCCTCACCCCACCCCACCCCCGAGCCCTCCTCCTCCTCCTCCTCCTCTCTCTGCTCAGCTCTCACCCACATCTCAACAGGTGAGTTCCCGGAAAACTGCCCCCAAACGCGACCCCCTCCCTCCCTCCCTCCCCCCCTCCCGCCCCCCGGGGGGTGTGGTCGGGCTTTCGATCAGCGGAACCACCAAACCGCAGCCTCTCCCCCACAGCCGCCGCGGGTCCGCCGCTGAGGGGCGGTTTCGCTTCGCCATCGGAGCTGCGGTTGTGGTTCTCGCGCAAAGCGGCTTTGCTGTTCCGGGAGAGAGTCCGAGGCTCAGGGTTTCCTCTCCTCACTCCGCTCCGCTCGGGCTCCGCTCGGCTCGGCTCGGGCTCCGCTCGGCTCGGCTCGGGCTCCGCTCGGCTCGGGCTCCGCTCCGCTCCGCTCCGCTTTGGCTCTGCGGCCGATATTGGCTTTGACCGCAGCGCTGCGGCTCTGAAGCCAAACTCCCGACCGCCGCAGCTCCAGCGACAAAGGCATCTGTGACGGTCAGTCTGAGCTTCCCGACGGCCCTGTACACACTGCCACAGCGTCCAGCACTGCACACACACTGTGTACACACACTGTACACACTGTCACAGCGTCCAGCACTGCACACACTGTGTACACACACTGTACACACTGTCACAGCGTCCAGCACTGCACACACACTGTGTACACACACTGTACACACTGTCACAGCGTCCAACACTGCGCACACACTGCATACACACACTATATACACTGTCACAAGGTCCAGCACTGCACACACACTATATACACACACTATATACACTGTCACTGTCACAGCATCCAGCCTCCCAGCACTCATACACACATACACTATATATATGCACACACATGCACAATATACACACAGACACACTATAATACATTGTCACAGCATCCAGCCTCCCAGAACGCACACTATATACATAAACTATATACACCGTCACAGCTACCAGTCTCCTAGCACTCACACTGTACAAACACTGTACACACATGATATACCCTGTCATAGCATCCAGTCTGCCAGCGCTCACATACAGATACTCTCCCTCTATATATATACACATATACATACTATATATATATATGCAAACACACAAACACACACACACAATATATGCCAAGCTCCCTGAATCCATAGAGATCCTGTAACAAGGTTGGAGACGGACATATGGCAAGTTTCTATTAGTTTATGTCTGGACTGTACCCAAAGTAATAATTCAAAAAAAAATTGGTCACTTCAATCCACGACTGTTGTGGGACACTGCTGTGCACAATTGGCTACCGCATTTCACCCACAAAGTATACAATCAATTCACTTTACGGTATATGCTGTGAAGTGCTTTGAGACGCCTTGAAGAAGTGATAAGGCGCTATATCAAATGCAAGGATTATTATTATTATTACATATAAACACACACACAATAAACACACATAATAATATATACTACAACAACATACATATATACATACACACACAAAATATACACATAGATATATACACAGGTCCCCGTATGTATATAAATATATGCACACACACACACACAATATATAATAATAATAATACTTGCATTTGTTATAGCACCTAATTATGTCTTTAAGCTGCTTTTGAAAGTCTCAAAGCGCTTCACAGAATATACTGTAAAGTGAATTGACTGTATATTTTGTGGGCGAAAAACAGCAGCCAATTGCATATAGCTGTATCCCATAAACAGTCGTGGATTGAAATGAACAATTTATTATTATTTATATTATATACAGTATACTCGCGCATGTACTCACATACACAAACACAATATAAACACGCATACACAAAATACACACACATATATACATATTATATGCACAATATACACCTACATATACATAATACATGTATACATAAATACACCGATACACATATAAATACGAGATGTATAAAAATATAAAGGGAAAAACAAGCTGAACAAGCCTGTGAGGTCTTGAAGCTAAGACATTTAAAAGTGAAATAAGGGAACATTTTTTCACACAGTGTATGTGTGGAATTCATTCCCTTGAAGGCATTGTACACGTGTCATCACCCATGTCCCTCTGAAATCTAGGACCATCTCCAAATCTATCTGCTCCCCCTGGTACAATAGTCATCTCCGCTCCCTCAAATCCCAAACCCGGTTGCTTGAGCGCAGATGGCACAAAACCGGCTTCACGTTCACCGCCAGCTGTGGCTTGAGCATCCTTACATCTATCTCGCTCCATCTTGTAAGCCAATACTATGCATTCCTCTCACAGATTTATTCTAGAGGCCAAAAACAACTCCAAAATCTTATTCCCCACCAACCACCAACTTCTCCGCACGCCCCATCAATCACCCTCAATCCTAACATCTAATGCCAAGTGCGAAGAGGTCTTGGATTTCTTTATCTCCAAGATAGATAACATCCACCTGGCTGCCTACTCCTCCTGCCCCATGTCCCCCACCACCACCCCCATTCCCTCTCCATCACCCACTCCTCCTCCCACAGACCCCAAACTACACTCCTTTACCCCCATCTCTCTTTCCTCCCTCTCATCCTCCATCACCCAGATGAAACTCGCCACCTGCTGCCTTGACCCTCTCCCCACCCAGCTGTTGGTCACTCAACTCTCCCTTATCTGCCCACTGCTGGCAGACACCATAAATCAGTCCCTCTCCTCAGGTTCAATCCCACTCCCTCTCAAAACAGCTGTCATCACCCCCCTACTTAAAAGAACTAATCTCGATCCCTTTAACCTCGTGCACTACTGTCCCATTTCAAACCTGCCCTTCCTGGCCAAAGCTCTGAAACACATTGTTGCAAACCAACTTTGCTAATACTTTGCCCTCAACTCCCTACTCAAACCCCTCCAGTCTGGGTTCCCACCAGCTCACAGCACAGGTCAAAATAACAAATGACATCTCTCTTTGACCAGGGCTCCCTCTGCCTCTTGTCCTCCTGTACCTCTCCACTGTGTTCGACACAGTCGACCACACCATACTCCTCCACCATCTCTCCTCCCTCATCCATCTTAGTGGGAACGCACTCGCATGGTTCGAGTCCTACTTAACCACATTGCCTGTCTCTATCTGAGCCGGGCTAGCACACACCAAGCCGGCCTGGCGCACACACCGAGTCTCGTTGACACACACACTGAGCTGCGCTGATGTGCACCGAGCGGAGCTAACACACGCTGAGCTGACACATTGAGCCGGGCTGACACATACCGAGCCAGGCTGACACCCACACTGAGATGGGCTGACACACACTGAGCCGAGCTAAACGCACTGTTTTTGACTTCTTTGAAGCAGCTCCTGACCATGTTGCGCTTGCTGGGCCTGAGAGGACCACGGGCTGTATTCTGCCTCCAGTGCGGTCGTCCCAGAGAAAGCCATCACCAGGCTGTGCTGGCCCTGAGGAGGGAGGACATCAATGCCTGGGAGCGCCGGGCGCCCCTGGCACCCAAGCACATCCAGGAGCTGACCAACGCAGGCTGTAAGGTCCTAGTGCAGCCCTCCAACAGACGGGCAATCCATGAAAAGGTAAGTCCAGAGCCATCACCGCAGCAACAAGCTTCACTCAACCACAACCACCACCAATAACAAATTCCATTTATACCACGCCTTTCACATTGTGAGGATGTCCCAAGGCGCTGGCCGGTCAAGGGTTTGCACCCAAGCTGGGATTTGGAGTCAAGAGGGGTGGATGGAAGGGAATGGGGGTGGGTGGATGGGTGGAGGCATGGTCAAAGTGGAAGGCTTGAGATGGGCCTTGAAGGAGGCAAGGGAGGGGTTGAGGTGGACTGTCTCCAGAGGGTGGGGCAGACAGGCCGAAGGCCCAACCACTGATCGTGGGGGGGTGCAGGGCGGGGGACATGGAGAAGGCCAGTGCCTGCCAAGTGGAGATGACACCCATCTGGACACGGTGATGATTTTCCGCATGGGTCAGATACCTGGCTGATCACGGGACTTCCACGTGGGTCTGACACACGGCTGATCACGCTGATGGGTTTCCCCATGTGTCAGACAGCTGACTTTTTTTAAGGCGTGAAGCACCAGCGAGATGACACTGGCATTGAGCCTATAACCTTTTAGTGCCCCATGTTTAGTATTACAGACAAGCGGGAGCGATCATCCAGGAGGATATCTCCGAGGCTTCCATGATTATCGGAGTGAAAGGCCTCCCTGTGGAAAAGCTGATTCCGAAGAAGACATACGCCTTCTTCTCTCACACCATCAAAGCACAGGAGGCCAACATGCCTCTACTGGACGCCATTTTGGCCAAGGTACATCCATTCCCGACTGTGTGGTGCCTGCTCCAAGTTCCAGTAATACAGTCAGAGTGATTAGTAATGCAAACTCACCAAGTACCAATAATTCAGCCACATTGACTAGTACTGCAGCCCCACTGAGTACCAGTAATACAGTTACAGTGTCCACAGCCTCACCCTGTTATTAGTGACTAGAGCTACAACCTCACTGAGGTATTTGTAATAGGTAATAGTGACGAGTACTAGAGGCTCACCCAGTTATATAATAATAATAATAATAATTCTTGTATTTGATATAGCGCTTTTCATGTCGGGAGGACGTCCCAAAGCGCTTCACAGAATATACTGTAAAGTGAATTGACTGTATATTTGTGGGCGAAACGCGGCAGCCAATTGCGCACAGCAATGTCCCACAAACAGTCATGAATTGAAAATGACCAATTTATTTTATTATTGTTTTTGGTTTTTGGAGGGATTATTATTAGGCTCTGTGTGGAGTAAGGAAACTTGCCCAAGGTTTCACTCTGCCTGGAATTGAACTCAGGTCTCTCGCTTGCAAAGCGAGTGCTCTAACCACTGAGCTACAGGACTCCACAGTTACTAGTAATATAGTAATAGTGACTAGTAATCAAGCCTCATAGTGTTACTAATGACTAGTACGAGAGCCTTATTGAGTTACTAATGATACAGTAATAGTGGCTGGTAATCAACCCTTACTGAGATACTGTGTGCTAGGTTTGTGCCCTCTTTGTGCTTGCTGTGTGCCTGATCACTATGTGCTTTTTCTGTTTTGAAGGAAATCCGTCTCATCGATTACGAGAAGATGGTGGACAGCAAAGGGTCAAGGGTTGTGGCTTTTGGCCAATGGGCTGGAGTAGCAGGTGAGATGAGCCGTACAGTCTGACCTGCCTGTTATACCCTCTATGTGCGTACAATACAATCTGACTCACCTGTTACATTTTGTATGTACAGTCCAGTCTGACCTGCCCGTTATGCCCTATGTGTGTACTGTACAGGCTGACCTGCCTGTCATGCCCTATGTGTGTACAGTACACCCTGACTTGCCTGTTATGCCCTATGTGTGTAAGTCTAGTCTGACCTGCCCATTATGTCCTATGTGTATACACTACAGTCTGATTATACAAATGTATACAAATGTTGTTTGTTGTTTTTGTTGATTCACCCGTTACATTCTCTGTGTGAACCCTCTGTGTACAGTCTGACCTGCCTGTAACACACTCTGTTTGTGACAGGAATGATCAACATCCTGCATGGTTTGGGGCTGCGTTTCTTGGCTTTAGGTCATCATACCCCCTTCACGGTGAGTCATTTTTCAGCTTCTTTATGGATAAAAAAACTCACACATTTGACTCAGAGTCTTATCAAATTGTTGAGATGTCTCAAAGCACTTCACAGGATTCACTGTAAAGTGGATTGACTGTGTATTTTGTGAATGACCAATTTTATCTGGAGGATTGTTGGTCAGGACACCAGTAGAAACTCCCTTTTTCTTTTCCAATGGTGCTTAATGTTTAATGTCAATTTAGAGAGGCAGATGTCACCTTGTTTTAACATCTCATCTGAAGGACAGCATCTCTGACAATAAGTGCTCCCCCCAGCATAGATTGGAGTATCAGCCTTGACTATGTGAGTTTCAAGTTGCGAAGTGGGGCTTGAACTCACAACCTTTCTGACACAGAGGCAAGAGTGCTACCAGTTTTGTTAGGCTCACACAAATTGTGGAACCAGAACTGGGCAAACTTCATGGGTTGGGGTGGCGTTCAGTCTTGTGTTGGGTGTTGGTGAAGGGGTTGGATGGTGGAGCCTGGACTAAACCCTTTTCTTCTTTTTCCCAGCATATTGGCATGGCTCACAACTACAGGAACAGCGCACAAGCTGTGCAAGCTGTGCGTGACTGCGGCTATGAGATCTCACTGGGATTGATGCCAAAGTCCGTCGGACCAGTCACCTTTGTGTTCACAGGCAGCGGAAATGTGTCTAAGGTAAGCTTAGGTGTTGATACTCTGGTCAAACTGTACCTAGAATACTGTGTACAGTTCTGGTCACTGTGACATAAAGGGGGCTGCCCAGGATCTAGAGCCGGTGCAGAGGAGAGCAATGAGGATGATCCCCAGGGTTAGAGGAATGAGCTGTGTGGAATGATTAGACAAGCTAAGGCTCTTCAGTCTTGAGAGAAGACGACTCAGAGGGGACTTTATTGAGGTGTATAATATTTTAAATGGGATTGAAAAAGTAGATCAATACTTTAGGATGCACCAAGGCAGTAGAGCAAGAGGACACGGGTTTAGAATTATTATGAGCAATTTCAGTACAGACACCAGGAACTTTTTCTTTATCCAGAGGATAATTAATGACTGGAACAGGTTCCCGTGAAGGGTGGTTGAGGCCAGGACACTGCGACTCATTTAAAAAGCAGCCTTATTCTGTGATGGGAGCATAATATAGCAATGATTGAAATATTGATCAGAACACTGCATAGCATTGATCAGAGCACTGTATAGCATTGACCTGAAAATGTCTTTTTATAGGGAGCTCAGGAAATCTTTAATGAACTTCCTTGTGTGTTTGTGGAGCCTCACGAGCTGCAGGAGGTTTTCCGATGTGGAGGTAGGCCAAAACCATTCTGACCCTGGTTTTCTGTTGCATGGTTCAGAAGGTTGACTTTTAGTGTTGTCTGGGGCCAGCAGAGGAGTTCAGAGAGATAAAAGGGTGCCAGGATGGATTTGTATGTGAGGGTGAGGATTAAGACCATAAGACCATAAGACGTAGGAGCAGGAGTAGCCCATTCGGTCCCTCGAGCCTGCCCCACCATTTAATAAGATCATGGCTGATCTTCTAACCTAATTCCATTTACCCGCCCTATCCCCATATCCCTTAATCCCTCTATCCTTTGAAATCTATCAACCTCATTTTGAATATGTTCAAGGACTGAGCATCCACAACCTTCTGGGGTAGAGAATTCCACAAATTCACTACCATCTAGTGAAGAAATGTTTCTTCAACTCAGTTCGAAAAGGCTGACCCTTAATCTTGAGACTATGACCCTGAGTTTTAGATTCTCCAACAAGGGGAAACAGTCTCACGGTATCTACCCTGTCAAGACCCTTAAGAATCTTATAGGTTTCTGTAAGATCACCTCTAATTCTTCTATATTCTAGAGAATATAGGCCTAGTTTACTCAACCTATCCTCATAGGTCAACCCCCTCATCCCAGGAACCAACCTAGTGAATCTACACTACACCAATCTAAGGCAAGTATGTCCTTTCATAAATAAGGAAACCAAAACTGCACACAATATTCTAGGTGCTATCTCACCAAGATCTTATACAACTGCAACAAAACTTCCCTACTCTTGTACTCTAACCCTTTTACAACGAACCCCAACATGGCATTAGCTTCCTAGTTGTTTGCTGTACTTGCATACTAACTTTTTGTGACTGGTGTACAAGGACATCCAAATCCTTCTGAACACTAACACTACTTAGTCTCTCCCACTGTAGAAAATAATCCACTTTTCTATTTTTACTACCTAGGTGGATAATTTCACAGTTCCCCGCATTATTCTCCCATCTGCCTTCTTCTTGCCCATTCACCTAGCCTGTCTATTTCCCTTTGCATTCTTCTTTCCTATCCAAGATCTTTGAGAGAGCTGTTATCTCCCAGCTTCGCTCTTTCCTCTCCTCCCACTCCCTCCATGAACCCCTCCAATCGGGTTTCCGTGCTGCCCACAGCACAGAAACTGCTCTGGTCAAGGTCACAAATGACATCCTGATCATGTGCAACCAGGGCTTTCTCTGTCTCCTCCTCCTCCTCAACCTCTCTGCTGCCTTTGACACCGTGGACCACTCAATCCTCCTCCATCGCCTCTACTCCCACCTCAACCTTCAAGGTTGTGTCCTTGACTGGTTCAGGTCTTACCTTTCACACCGCCTCCACTTCGTTGCAGCAAACAGCTTCTCCTCCAGACTCTGCACTGTCTCGTGCGGTGTTCCTCAAGGCTCTGTCCTAGGTCCCCTCCTCTTCACCATCTACATGCACCCTTTGGTGACGTCATCCTCAGACATGGGGTAAATTTCCACATGTATACGGATGATACCCAACTCTATCTCTCTGCCTCCACCCTCAACTCCCTCCTCATCGGCCTTCCCAACTCTTTCCTTCACTAGCTGCAGATCATCTAAAACTCTGCAGTTCGTGTACTCTCGCGCACCAGGCTCCGCGACCCCATCACTCCCACCCTCGGCCGACTCCACTGGCTCCCCATCCCCCAGAAGATCAAGTTTAAGACCCTTGTCCTCACTTTCAAGGCCATCCATGGCCTTGCCCCCTCCTACCTCTCTGACCTGCTGACTCCCTACCAACCTGTCCGCTCCCTCTGTTCAGCTCCCTCCGTACACTCCAATGTCTCCCGCCTGACCCGCCTTACCATCGGTGGCTGGGCTTTTAGCCTCTCTGTCCCCACACTCTGGAACTCCAACCCATGATCCCTTCGCCTCGCTTCCTCCCTCGTCTCCTTCAAGGCCAGTCTCAAGACCCTTCTCTTCGATCGTGCCTTCAGTCGCCCTCCCGTCTCTCTGCCTTCCCTCAGATCTACACCATCCCTCCCCCATGCTCGGGCCCCGACACCTGACTGTTCAGCGCTTTGGGACATCCTCCTGACATGAAAGGCGCTCTATAAATGTAATTTTGTTGTTTTTGTTGTTCTTGTGTCATCCTCACAGCTTATTCTCGCATCTAGCTTTGTATCGTCTGCGAATTGAGATATGTTAAGTTCTATTTGCTCATCTAAATCATTGATATAGACAAATAAATAATTGAGGCCCAAGCACTGATCCTTGCGGCACTCCACTTGTCACATCCTGCCAATCTGAGAAGGACCCGTTTATTCCTACTCTCTGTTTCTTCCTGTTAGCCACTCTCCAATCCATGCTAATATATTACCTTTAATTCCATGGACTCTAATCTTATACAACAGCCTTTTATTTGGGACCTTGTCGAATGCCTTCTGGAAATCCAAATACACCACATTTACTGGTTTCCCCCTATCTAACCTGCTAGTTACATCCTCAAAAACTCTAAAAGATTTGTTAAACATGATTTCCCTTTCGTAAAGCCATGGTGACTCTGCCTAATCATGTTATGATTTTCTAAGTACACCACAACGTAAGGACTAATTAAGGACTCTAGAATTTTCCCTACTGATGTCAGACTAACTGGTCTATAGTTCCCCACTTTTTGTCTCCCATTCTTCTTAAATAGTGGTATTATGTTTGTAATCTTCCAATCAATGGGAACCGTTCCAGAATCCAGGGAATTTTGGAAGATCAAAAATAAAGCATCCACTATCTCTACAGCCACCTCTTTTAGTACCCTAGGATATAGGCCATCGGGTCCAGGGGCTTTGTTGGTTTTTAATCCTATCAATTTCTCTAGTACTATTGCTTTACTGATGTTCATTTCTTTAAGTTCTTCACTAACATTAGCCTCCAGGTTCCCCTCTATTTTCGGTAAGTTTTCAGTGTCCTCTAATATGAAGACAGAAGCAAAATATTTGTTTAATCACTGCCATTTCTTTATTCCCCGTTATAATTTCTCCTGTCTCTGCCTGCAATGGACCCACATTCACATTGATAGTCTCTTCTTCTTTATGTACTTGTAAAAACTCTTACAATCTGTCTTTATGTTCCTAGCAAGTTTACCCTCATATTCCATTTTCTCCCTCTTAATCAGTTTCTTGGTTTTCCTTCGCTGATCTCTAAAGCCCTCTAAAGTCCTGATTCAAATCAATCTGCTGGGAGCCAAGGAGGCAGGGGAGTCTTTTGAGGACTCAGGTGTTGGGCATGTGCAGTTCGGTAGGGTTTTGGATGTGTGTCAGCTTGTAATGCGGAGTCGGCTGTTTCGCTCACGCAGATCAGAGTAAGGTTTATGCCACTGTCCTCAGTCGTCATCACCACGTTGTGAGGAAGAGTGACGGAAAGTATGACCCGTTTGAATACCAGCACCAGCCAGAGTTGTACACGTCTCGCTTCAGTACGGACGTAAGTTATCAATAAAACTAATCTTACACTCACAAACCCACCCTCTCATCCCCCCTCTTCATTCCACCCCCCCAACTGCACAAGTCCCCCCCCCCCCTCACCCCCTCAACCCTCCACTCACAAACCCCCCAATCTCACTGCCATTGGAAACCCTACTTCTGTGTAGTGTTTTTGTGAACATGTCAGGCTGACTCAGTCAGTCACTGTCTTGTTTGAGTCAGGAGCTTGTGGGTTCAAGCCTCACATCAGGAACTTTTAAGGTCACAGTCCAGGCTAATGCTCCAATGTGGTTCTGGGGGGAGCGCTGCAAAGTCGGAGATGCGATCGTATGGATGAGATGTTAAACCAAAGTCCCATCTTTACCTGTTTAGCTGGACATTAAACATTACGCAGTACAATTGGAAAAGAGAAGGGAGTTGTCATATTGGCTGTAGAGGACTCCCATATCAGAATTGAGTCACACATGAAAATCTCTGCCTTACCCCCTCCTTTGCCTCCTTTAAGGCCTGTCTCAAGATCTTCCTCTTTGACTGGGCCTTCAGGCATCCTCCTACCCCCATCCAGACTGTCCTCCACCCCTCTTGATTCCAATCCCCAGCTCGTTGTTCAAACCCTGTCCAGCACCTTGAGGGTCCTCCCAACATATTGCAATTTGTTGTTATTGTTGTTTTATCTGGGAGATTATTGGCCAGAGCACTGGGAGAGAGAAACTCCTTTCTCTTTTTCAGAAGTGCCTTTAACGTCCATCTGGTGTACACAAGGCTGACCAGAATTCTTGTGTCTGTTTCAGATTGCTCCCTACACTACCTGTCTAATAAATGGTATCTACTGGGACCACCACACTCCGCGCTTACTCACCCGGCAGGATGCTCAGAACCTATTGGCATCAGCCAAGTCCTTTGACCCGATGTGTGACGGTTGCCCAGAGTTGCCGCACAGGTATGCCTCTTGATGTGATAAATTAGCACTCTAGACAGTGGAACCAAGCTCGGCGCACACACACACAACATACAACTCCTGGGTGGGTAGTGATCAGACAACCCACATTCCACCTCCTCTTAGCCTGTGGGTCCATATTACCCTGCATCTTAAGATCACCCAGGGTTGTGGAGGATTCGTACACTGGGTCTTCATTTAGCATCTGCTTTTATTTTCGATTCAGGTCTCTATGGTCAGGCAATTGTCTCTCACAGTGTTGCAGTGAAAAACTCTGTGTTGATCTGGGATTTGAGGTAAAAAAAGAATGAGTTTAATGCTGTGACTAAGGAAGTGGGTACGAAGGGGAACAGGGTGTGATAATTTGCCTGGTACATCTTTCAGACCAGAGGCAACTTGGGGGGCATTTAAAGGAGAATTGGATAGGCACATGTAGAGGGAGAGAATTAGAAGGAATGGGGAAGAGTAAGGCATTTTGATTTGGATGGATGGCTTTTTGGAGATGGCCCAAAGCACCATACTGAAGCGTCAGCATAGACTGCGAGCTCAAAGTCACCAACATGGGGCTTGAACCCACAACCTCATGACTCAGAGGCCAGAGCACGAGTGACTGAGCCAGGCTGACCCAGTTGAATCAGGAGCTTGTGGGTGGGTGACAGAGAGATGGGGATGCTCTGACTAAATGCTACTTCTCCTGTAGATTTCTGGCTATTTGTGACATCTCCGCCGACGCTGGAGGTTCCATCGAGTTCATGAATGAGTGCACGACCATTGATATGCCATTTTGCATATATGATGCAGACCAGCACACCATCCATGACAGGTAAGGGCTGGGGGAGAGGGAATAACATGAAACATACAATGTGGTCACATTTTATGTTCAGCCCGCTGAAGCACTTTGAGATGTCACAATGACATGACAAGCGCTGAATCAAATGTAAGGATTGCTATGATTACAATTATTAATCCCTCCAAAAGAATAAAAAATAAAATAAATAAGAATAATTTGGTCACTCAATCCACGACTGTTTGTGGGAGACTTCTGTGCGCGATTTGCTGCCGAGTTTAGCCCACAACATATTCAGTCAATTCACTTCACAGTATATTCTGTGAAGTACTTTAAGAAATCTCGAAGCTGTGATAAGGCATTGTATCAAATGCAAGGATGATTATTAGCATTATTATTATTAGATTTACCCATGACCTTTTGTGCACTCTCTTGTGTATTTGTATGTGAATGTGTATTTTGTGGGCGTACCTAGCAGCCAGTTTGCATACAGCAATGTCCATGAAATGAGTGACCAATTTTTTCTGGGTATTGTTGGATGGGAAATCGGGAGAGAGAAACTCGCTTCTCTTTTCCAATAGCGCCACAGAATCTTTAACATTCACCTGAACAGACACTGATGGGACCTCAGTTAATCCTAAGGATGATGCCTCTGACACTGCAGCGTTCCCCGCAGCACTGCACTGAACTGTTAGCCTGGACTGTGAGCCCAAAGTCTCTGACAGAGGGGCTTAAACCCATGATTTTCTGGGCAACTTAACCAGGTTGAGACACTAATTACAACGAATTACATAGAGAAGTCATGGGACACAATTGTGGAAAGATCTTCAAATTAAGGCTGAAGCAGGTTCGGCAGTTGAACTGGAAATATTCTCCCCAGTGCCGCTGGATCTCAGAGTCAGAAACGCAATGGGTCTCACTGGCTAAGTCCCTGTGTAGTTTGGAGCTTGATGTTTGCTTTCAGAGAAAAAACGTTATTTTCTCTGTGTAGCAATCGTTCTTTGGTGTATAACGGCCTTTCTTTCTCATGTGTGCATGTGTGTGCTTGTTTGTGTATGCGCGTATGTGTGTGCATGTGTGTGCATGTATGTGTTTGTGTATGTGTTTGTGTATGCGTGTACCCATGTGTCTGTGCGTGTATGTGCGCATGTGTGTGCACATGTGTGTCTGTGTGTGTTCATTTGCTTACAGCGTGGAAGGCAATGGCATTCTGATGTGTTCAATCGACAACCTGCCTGCCCAGCTCCCGATAGAGGCCACGGAGTGCTTTGGAGACATGCTGTTCCCCTACATATGGGAGATGGTAAGCACTTTCCAGAGCTCCCTATGCTTTGTCCCCCATGTCTGATACTCTCAGATTTGCAGCGAAAACCATCCTGGTCTTGAAAGGTCATCACTGTTGCAAGGTCTCATTTAGAAGATGTTTTAAGGATTATTATTTTTACTTAGTATTTTGAGAAATCTTGCTTAACAAGTTTCATCAATTCCATAGTTTAATGCAGTGTTGTGGGTGATGGGGTGAACTGTTTTACATATATATCACATATATGAGTGTATATATTATATGTGTATATACTCCATATAAGACTGTATACAAGTCTATAAACTATATGTAAGAGAAAGGAAGACAGGCTAACTCAGGGATGAAGGTGGGCTGGTTAAAATGATGTAGACAGTGAGCGAAGTAACTGGTTGCTAATGAATATTGCCTGGTTAGTCCAGTTAGTCTGTGTTGTGTGTGTGTGACTCTGATTGGGAGTCTGGACTGGTTGGGAACAGTCTCAGTGTTCTTAGCTTGGTCCCATTGAAGGTGGTGAGCTTTCAAGCCTTTTGAAACTTGGTTGCTTGCTAGGTCTGTACTGTTTACGTCACAGAGGGGGAGGGGTGGGGACAGCAAGCAAATGATGGTTTAGAGTTCAGTGCTGGAAAGCATCAGCTGACATCGGTGGCATGTTGCATCCAAGGTTCAAATTACTAGAAAAAGATTGACACGGTCAGGACATTTGGCGGAAGGTAGGTTTGTGCGGGAAATCTCCCGTTTCCTGTCCCTTTTGTTAGCAAAATTGTGTAATTTGAGAAGGCATTGATTTTTAACAATTTCCTGCCCTTCTCCCTGACAAACTGTGTGTAACATTATCCAAATGGTTGTGTAACTCTCTTGTGTATCAACATGTATCGTCATGATTTGCATTCCACAGTTACACAGCGTGCTTCAGGGAGAAACACAGCCTTTCAAGTAGGTATAGCAACAACAAATTACATTTATGCAGCGCTTTTCACATCGGGAGGATGTCCCAAAGCTCTGGACAGTGAGTCTCCAGTGAAAGCTTGCTAGAAAGTGCTCTGAAAGTGCTCTATCCTCATTCACCGCCTCTCCTCTCACCTCAACCTCCACGGCGCTGTCCTTGACTGGTTCAGATCGTACCTCTCACACTACCTGCACTTCATCTCCTCAAACGGCTTCTCCTCTAGCCCCCGGACCATCTTGTAGGGCGTTCCTCAGGGCTATCTATATGCTCTCTCTTGGTGAGATCATCCGCAGACATGGGGTCAACTTCCACATTCATGCAGATGACACCCTGTCTCCACCCTTGACTCCAGGACCACTGCTGTCCTGACAGAATGTCTGTCAGACATCACATCCTGGATGAGAGCTAACTTTCTTCAGTTGAACGTCAACAAGACCGAGCTCTCCTGATTGGCTCCCGTCACCTCAGGCCCTGGTAGCATCACCATCCATGGCTGCACACTCCTCCTTGCTAAGCCAGTCCGGAACCTTGGGGTCTTGTTTCACCCTCAACTATCCTTTCTACCCCACATCTGCGCCATGACCCGCTCTGTCTTCCCCCACCTCGGCAACATCGCCTGGTTCTGCCACTCACACATCGCAGGCCGCCGAAACCCTCATACATGCTTTCATTACATTGAGGCTGAACTATGCAGACGCATTGCTTGTCGGCCTCCCCAACCCCTCTGCAGATCATCCAGAACCCTGTCCTCTCCCGCATTAGGCTCTGTGACCCTATCACCCCCATCCTTGCCCAACTTCACTGGCTTCCCATCACACAGAGGATACAGTTCAAGATCCTGGTCCTCACCTTCAAAGCCTTCCATGGTCTTGCTCCCCCCTACCTCTGTGACCTCCTAATCCCCTACCATCCTGTTTCTCCCCTGCATCTGCGCCATGACCGCCACTACCTACCACTACCTCTGCAACATTGCCAGACTCCGCCACTGCCTCACTCCTCAGGCTGCCGAAACCCTCACCCATGCATTCATTACATCAAAGTTCAATTACGGGAACTCCCTCCTCATCAGCCTTCACAACTCTTTCCTTCACAAGCTGCAGATCATCCAAAATTCTGCAGCTCGTGTACTCTCGCGCACCAAGCTCCGCGACCCCATCACGTCCGACTCCACTGGCTCCTCATCCCCCAGAGGTTTGAGTTCAAGATCCTTGTCCTCACTTTCAAGGCCATCCATGGCCTTCCCACCTCCTACCTCTCTGACCTGGTGACTCCCTACCAACCTGCCCGCTCCCTCCATTCAGCAGGCTCTGGCCTGCTCCATATCTCCCGCCAGACCCACCCTACCATCGGTTGCTGGGCTTTCAGCCTCTCTGCCCCCACACTCTGGAATTCTAACCCACGGTCCCTTCGCCTCGCTTCCTCACCTCCTTCAAGGTGGGTCTCAAGACCCTTCTCTTCGATCATGCCTTTGGTCGTCCTTCCAACTCTCTGCCTTCCCTCACCCCTACACCACCCCTCCCCCATACTCGGGCTCCGACACCTGACTGTTCAGCGCTTTGGGACGTCCTCCCGCCGTGAAAGGCACTCTATAAATGTAATTTTGTTGTTGTTGTTTGCTGGAGTCCCCAAACTTTAGGTCTTGTCAATCTGTGCCAAATATTCTCTGGAATTAGATAAGAACTCCAGGGAGAGACTACGCATTCCATTCCAACAATCTGGGATTTCCATGTGTACGTGGGTTGCATGGAATTCTCAGTTTGGTTTGTATATTCTTAAGCATGGTGATAGGTTTCTGCATGTGTCAGACACTTGTCTGACCAAAACAAAAATAATGTTTATACAGAGAAAAAATAATTGAAATAAAGAACTGTGTAATGGGCCTTTAGCTGTTCCATTTCCAGTCCCCGGGGTCTAAGTGTGTGGGGATTATATAGACTGTACAACGTGGAAGCAGGTCATTGGGGACCAGTCCATGCCAGAGTTTCTACTGCACACGAGCCTCTAGCGAGCGTGGGGATTGGTTAGCTGGAATCCCATGTTCTGCATTAGATATGATCAAACAAGAAAGACAGGTCACCATGACCCAACGACTGGCTGGTCACACAACAGTGACAGCCCACAGAGAGATGAGCGACAGATTCTGTACACCAGTCACTAGATATATCAGACTCTAGAGAGACGTCACTGTTAATATCGGACAATACGGGGGCATCACTGTTAACATGGTTTCTTGTTCAGCCGGTTGTCTGAACATGCGGAAACCCGACACCGTGCTTAAGAGTCTCCAAACCATACTGATCTGTCAAACTGTATAGAGGTGTCACTGATTATATATAGTACTGCTAGTACAGGTTATATTTAGCACATGTTGGCTTGTGGTAACTGTTGGGAGTTTAACCATTTAAAACATTCATAGAAGCTTTGGCTTACAGGGTTAACGGGAGCTGAGTGGGAAGAACACCAGCCAATAATTGTGACTGGGAAGCCTGTGGGTTGATGCTAAGTCTGTCTGTTTGATGTTTATCTAAAAGTAATTAGTTTAATTTTGTTCCTCAGTTGGCCTCTGATGCCACTGTACCTTTTGAAAAGCAGCAAGGCTTCTCCCCCTTGGTCAAAAATGTAAGTGCAGGCCTACCTGTGTCATTGTTCACTGTCTGTGTCACTGTTCACTGAGTCTGTATCACTGTTCATTGTGTCTGTGTCACTGTTCGTTGTGTCTGTGTCACTGTTCCTTGTGTCTGTGTCACTGTTCACTGTGTCTGTGTCACTGTTCACTGTGTCTGTGTCACTGTTCACTGTGTCTGTGCCACTGTTTACTGTGTCTGTGTCACTGTTCGTTGTGTCTGTGTCACTGTTCCTTGTGTCTGTGTCACTGTTCGTTGTGTCTGTGTCACTGTTCACTGAGTCTGTGTCACTGTTCGTTGTGTCTGTGTCACTGTTCGTTGTGTCTGTGTCACTGTTCGTTGTATCTGTGTGACTGTTCACTATGTCTGTGTGACTGTTCACTGTGTCTGTGCCACTGTTCACTGTGTCTGAGCCACTGTTCACTGTGTCTGTGCCACTGTTCACTGTGTCTATGTCACACTTCACTGCCTATGTCACTATCACTGTTATAATAATAATAATCCTTGCATTTGATATAGCGCCTTATCACGTTTCATAAACTGCTTATTTCCAGGCTGTAATAGCGTCCAATGGTTCCTTGACTCCCAAATTCAAGTACATTCAGAAGATGAGAGCAAACAGGTAAGATTGCCTGCATTCCCTGGGTCCATTGGTATCACTTTCACCTCTGAGTCAGAAAGTTGTGGGTTCAAGCCAAACATCAGGACTTGGAACTTAGATAGAAATTATGAGTTACTTATGTAATTATTTTCTACACATAGAAATCCCCTGTGTCTGGAATGGAATGTGCCCTCTCACCGGAGGGCCGGACCCTGCTCACCTTATCCCGAAGAATATTAGGTACAGGTTGATGAGAGCCAAGGCTTGGAGACCCACGAGTGTATGTTGGGGTCTAACCAGCTAAAACCACATAGCTTGCCATTGAGCACGGTCTGGCAAGGTTTCCCACTACTTGTCCAGCTAGGATCACCCTACCTGTTAGGGCTTTGGCTTGCAAGGTTAACAAGGAACTGATTGGGAAGGGTCCCTGCCCCCCAGTGATTGGTCTCCTTCTCCAGGTCCTGCTGATGAGCCAGGCTTGGCTGCTCATCTTCAGTGCCCTGGATTACTGCAGCCCCGCTTGGTTTAGGAACTTGACTGGAGACCGTCATAGAGGGCTGTCACGATTCTGACATTCCAATGTCCATACGTTACCTTGGAGCCAGTTCAGCTTATCCCCACAACCCCCCTCACCCCCACTCCCCAGCGGGAAGATTGTTTCTGTTTCCTGAAAAGACTGTTATTTGGTGTTCAGAAATAGACAGCATTTTACTGCAGTCCTATCTTATTAGGGAAAGAGGGAAAGTGTCAGCTGGCTCAGTGGTAGCACTGTCCCTTTCAGTATGAAGGTTGTGGGTTCAAGCCCCACGTTGGTCTTGGAATCACATAGACTAAGATGACCCACTATTGCAGTGCTGAGGAGCACTGTATTGTCGGAGGGGCCGTCTATCGGATAAGACGTTAAAACGAGTTTGGTGCCTGTTCAGGTGGATGTTAAAGATCCCGCAGCACTATTGGAAAAGAGAAGGGAGTTGCTCTGTCCCAGTGTTCTTGCCGACAATCCCCAAGATAAAATCAGTCACTTGTGGCTGTTTGTGGGACGTCGCTGTGAGCAAATTGGCTGCCGAGTCTGCCCACACAGCACACAGTCACTATACAGTGGCCTGTAAAGTGCTTTGTGACGTCCACCAGAGGTGAAAATGAAAATGGAAGGATTGATACTGTTACGGAATTGTGCCAGCTGAAGTCTGACTGGAGTATTTGGTGGGGTATTAAATCACAACAGGGCAAAAGCTCCTTATGGTATAGCTGCACACATCAAAAGGTAGAAAAGCCTCTGCTCTCTCTGATGTGACTCTGTGCAGCCCTGGCCAGTGGGCAGGGCTTTAACTAACCCCCAGGAACCTGAGAGCTCACAACTTGCACCTCTGTGACCCTCCCGATGGCCTCTCACTAACCAGATTTATTCTTTGCACAGTGTGGCAGGCTGTCTCTTGATTATGCCTTTACCTTGCATGTCCTGTGAGACCCAGCTGGCAACCCGAAGACACGTCTCTTTCAGGAAGGGTTCTTTTTGTGGGTAGCTCTGACCTCTTTGATTCTCCCTCTTAATGTGCATTCTGCTCATGCATGGGTTGTCCCAACGGTATCGCACGTTTAACAACTAGAGTTCACAGATTCACAATTGTCATACGTTTAACTAGATCGTGCATGGATTACCAATTATGTTACACATTTAACTACAGGGTACAAATACATGGATTACAAACTGGGTCACACTTTTCATTATATCAGTGCATGGATTATAGACTGTTTCACACTTTGAACTACACTAGTGCATGATCAACAACTGTGTGTGTCACACATTTAATTCTATTAGTGCATGGATCAACTGTGTCACAGTCTTAACTAGGTTAGTGCATGGATTACCAATTGCTTCACACATTTTAACTGCTTTGGTAACTACAAACTTTTAACAAGCTTCGTATTGACCTATGGGCCCTGAATGTTCCTGGGCTTCAAGTGAGTTCCTTTTTTTAATGAATCAGTGTGGCATACAGAGTTTGTTGGACCAAGGCAGTTGTGTCTATACTCTCCTTGTTGTGCTTGCTTGACTGGATATTCGAGCTGTGTGCTTGCCGGTGTTTACAGAGAATTGGCCCAGCTCGTGAACATGACTCCCAAGAGCAGGGTGCTGCTGCTTGGAGCTGGCTATGTTACTGGGCCCGTCCTGGACTACCTCACCAGGAACAGCAACATTGAGGTCACTGTGGGTAAGTGGTCAGCACCAACCATACACATGCGCTCTCTGGGATTAGTGTCTCCCTCAAGATCACCCGAAGACTGTGCCCTGGGGAGAGGGCTAACAGCTCGTCACTGAGGAGGGCTTTGATCTCCCTCCCTCTTTCTTGCTCCCTCACCCTATCTCCATCCCACTGAGGGAGATGACCTCAGTGACCTATGATCTTAGTGACCGCTTCCCTTAGGTAGATGGGGAGAGGGGATAGATCACCTAAAGCGGAAAGAAAGGCCTTAAGTCAGGCTTTAATGGTGAGGAGGGGTGGGAGGAGGTGGTGATAGTTCCAGAGAGGGCGCGGCAGGATGGCTGAAAGCTGGCTCATAAATTGCTGAGAGAATGAGAGTTGGACGTCAGTATTTGATTTCCATAGCGTCCATTGTGAAGGATGAGTTACAGAGACTGACGCAGAAATACAGCAATGCCATCCCAATTATCATGGACATAGAGAAGCAACAGGAAAAGTTATCCTCGCTGGTCGGATCACACGACCTGGTCATCAGGTGAGACTCTGGACTTTCCCACTCGATTTTAAGCCGCTTCTGTTAACATTTTCATCTACAAATACACAAGTCACTACACTTTGCTGCAAATCCTGTGAAACACTTTGCGACGTATCTGAGTGCCCTGGATCAAACGCAAGGTTTTTTTTTGTCAGCTGGGGGTCTGACACGTGTGGAAACCCATCACAGTTATCACCGTGATTAACAGTGTTCAAACCAGACTAAGAGTTTGACACATGTGTGGCACCTATACTTGGAAATTCCTGTGTCCAGAATGGCATAAGCACTCTCTCCCTAGAAAGATGCAACTTGCTTTTCTGATACGTTCAAAAGTTGATGAGATCCAAGGCTTGGGCACCCCAGAGTGAGTTTTGGGGTAACTGCTGGAGTCTAACCAGCTAAAACCACGTAGCTTGCCATTGAGAGTACCGTCTAGCAAGCTTTCCCGCTGCTTGTCTAGCTAGGACCACCCTACCTGTTAAGTCTTTGGCTTGCAGGGTTAACGGGAGCTGAGCAGGAAGAGTACCTTCCCCCAGTGACTGGACTGCCCTTCCATGTCCTGCTGATGAGCCAGGCTGGCTGTGCTGTCATCAGCAATGTCCTGGAGTACGCATTGGGGTAACTGCTGCAGTCAGGATTTCAGATCAACATTGATGAGGACAGAGGGAGAATAACTGGTTACTTTTCCCAGGAAAGATGGTTGAGGCCCCAGAATGTTTTAAAAAGCAGCTTGATGCTGTGATTGGGAGGTCAGTAGTTTGGGTGTTCTGGAGGGTTGAGATCAGATAGTCTGAAAGGCCTTCTTCATCCAAACCGATATTGTGATCTTGTGCCAGAGACTTTTACTAACATCACAAATTAGATCTCAGACTTTCTTTAACACCATGTTCAGTGTGGTGGGTGAAGGGTACGGATCATTCGCTGCAGAATTTGCTTGGAGAGTGAATTCTATTGCTGAGGGGTGTGATGGAACGATGGAGAATGATGGCATGTGGCGGTTGATCGGCCACTTGAGGAGTGACCTTCTCCAGCACAGAGCACTGCTGATGTTCTCTCTCTTGTTCTCTGATTGACTTCTGTCGTGTCAAGCTTGCTGCCTGGAGGTTTCCATCCTATGGTGATAAAGGAGTGCATCCATCACAAAGTCAACATGGTGACTGCCAGCTACCTGTCTCCAGAAATGAAGGCATTCCACCAAAGGTGAGAAACCCAAGACTACATGGATGTAGAATATCAAAGCAAAGAGGTAATGCTAAACATATATAAATCATTAGTCAGATACAGTTCGAATATTGTGTCCAACATTGGTCACCCCACTTTAGGAAAGACTACAACAACAGCAACTTGCATTTATACAGCGCCCTTCACGCGAGGCAGAGTCTCGGAGCTCTTGACAGTGGTGGAGTTTGACTCCCAATTCGGGGAGCAAGGGGGTGGGGGTGACCATAGGCATGGTCAAAGAGCAAGGTATTCAAATGCAATCTGAAGACAGGCAAAGGGAGGGAGTTCCAGAATGTTGGGAAGGGAGAGACAGACGGGAAGGGAGAGAGAGTCAAAAATAGAGAGAGAAGAGAGGGAAAGAGAGATAGGGAAGGAGAGAGAGATGGAGATGGAGAGAGAGATGAAGAGGGAGAGCAAGAGAGAGATATCAGCGGGATGGAGGGAGAGAGATGAGGATGGAGGGAGAAAGACGGAGAGTGAGGAAGAAACATAGGTACATGAACAGGGAGAGAATGATTGGATCTGGAATCTTAGATCCTGTGTGTTTTTTGTCCAGTGCACTAGAAGCTGAAGTTACTGTGGTGAACGAGATTGGTCTGGATCCAGGCATTGACCATATGTTGGCAATGAAGTGCATCGATGACGCAAGAGATCAAGGAGCTACTGTGAGTCTCAGTGTCTAAGTGTGAATTTCTCAAGCTTTAACAACTCACCGTTGGTAATGCCCTCTTACATTCACTATGTCCATTTTTGGCTCAAATCCTAAATAATTATAATAATAATAGTAATACTTGCATTTGATATAGTGCCTGTCAAGACATTTTGCAGCACTTCACCAGAGTGACTGTATTTTGTGTAAAATGTAGTGATTGTGTATTTTGTAAGTACAGTGTGGCAGCCAATTGCACACAGCGTATCCCACAAACAGCCATGGAGTGAGTGACCAATTTTATTTGCGGGATTGTTGGCCAGGACATCGGAAGAAACTCCCTTCTCTTTACCAATAATGCCAGGGATCTTTAATGTCTGCCCGAACAGGCGGATGGGACCTTGATTTAATATCTCATCCAAAGGATGGCATCTCTGACAATGCAACTCCCCTCACCCCCCCCCAGCACTGCATTAGAGTGTCAGCTTAGACAATGTGATTCAAAGTCCTGACGTAAAGCTTGAGACCACAACCTCTGACTCAGAGCCAGGCTGACACGATGCTTTCATCTCTTTCAGATCGAGTCGTACGTCTCCTTCTGCGGGGGTCTGCCTGCACCAGAATGCTCCGATAATCCACTACGTTACAAGTTTAGCTGGAGTCCGGTTGGAGCTCTGTTGAACACAATCCGCCCGGCCACCTACCTGAAAAATGGAAAGGTGTAGATCGCCAATAATTTGGTCTCGAAGTGAGGTGGTCTGGAAGCCAACACTGCCCTCTAGTGATCAGTTTTCAAGAGCTACTTTAGTTTTTGAGTCAGTGAGTTGGTGAGTTAGTGACCAAAGGGTAACAGTTTAACGTAAGACCAGATACCAAAGAGGAATTTCTTTACACACACAGTTGTTACGTGTGCACTATCCTAGCAGGACGGTGGTCGAGGCAGTCACCAGATTAGCTTTCGAGAGGGAACGAGACAGATATCTAGAGAGGAATGATCTTCATTGCTTACAGAAAACGCAGGTAAATGGATCTAAATGGTTTGCTTTACCAAAGAGCAGCGCAGAAATGATTTGCTGAATGGCTTCTTCTGAGCCGTCAATTTCTGTTCAAGTTACATAGGATCTTCCTTGTGGGAGAGGTAAGCAGGATCTCCCTGGAGCTGAACTGGCTCCAAAATAGAATAGAGATGTAGGGGAGCAAATAGAGAGGTTTAGGAGAGGGGAATTATAGGGGTGCGGGCTTGTGTGGACTATAAACTCAGGCATAGATTTGTTGGGCTAAACGGCCTATTTGTGTGCCGTAATGTTCCATGTAACTGGCTTGAAAACAGGCTGGATTTAAGGATTTACCAGATCTTGGACTCTGAATTGCTGTGGGAATAAAGATAGCATTGCCCCGGGTGCAATCTCTTCGTCTCGGTGTCTGTTCACGTGAACCATCTGCTCAGACAGTCAGGGATTTCCTTCTCACCTGCAGTTGGTGGAGATCTCAGCAGGAGGTGCTGTGCTCAATAATGCCAGCCCAATGGAATTCTTCCCTGGGTTTAATTTGGAGGGCTTTCCCAACAGAGACAGCCTGAAATACGCCGTGCCATACGGTATCGAATCGGCTCATACTTTGATAAGAGGCACCTTGAGGTACAAGGTAAGAACAATCAGTGTCTTAATAATAATATAATAATAATCCTTGTATTTGATGTAGCGCCTTATCAGGTCTTTCAGACGTCTCAAAGCGCTTCAGAATACTGTAAAGTAAATTGACTGTATATTTTGTGGGCAAAACAAGGCAGCTAATTGCGCACAGCAGTGTCCTCAAACAGTCGTGGATCCAGTCGAGGATTGAGTGACCTCATTTTTTTTTCTTATGGCAGAGATTGATCTGCCTGGAGATCAATGACAGGGTTTCTCTCACTCTTGTATTTGATAGCAAAACAGCTATGGAAATACAAGACTGAGAGAAACCCTTTCATTGTCACTTTAGCTCATCTGCGGCATTGAGTTGGTATAGATCCCGGGGCAAGAGACTTCAGAAGAAAGTTATAATAATCCTTGAATTTGATACCACATCGACGATAGGTCACAAAGCACTTGGCAGCATTTATTGTAAAGTGTAGTGTTTATGTATTTGCAGACCTGGGATTCCTGAGAGTTTCTATTTCTATATTCCAAATAATCCTGAATCGCTGACCCAAAGCTTTCTTCAGTCCTGACTGGATACAGGAACACACTGCAGACACTAAGCATCTCATTCAACTGCTCCTCTAACACCCTCTCATCCTGAAAATTAGTCTCTCACATAAGCACATCATCAACTGTAAAGGCTGGGAATGAATAGATACTTCCCAAGTGGCTTGTGTAATAAACATTGGTTGCTGTAAGTTAAGTCCAGTCAGGCCAGGGTAAACCATTGCTGTAGCTACAACAGCAACATGCATTTATGTAGCTCCCCACCACCCCCACGCAAGATAGCAATCCAGAGCTCTTGACAGTGGAGGAACATGACGCTGAGCCGGAGGTAGGTGACCTTAGGCACGGTCGAAGAGGAAGGTCTTCAGGCACGTTCTGAAGATGGGGAAGGAAGGGAGCAAGTAGGAGGAATTGAGGAAGAGTGTTCAGAGTTTCAGGGCGTAATGGCTGAGAGCGTTACAATACTTGGTTAAAGGAAGATTTCAACCAGATTCATTCAGCATGATGATGCATTCCCCAAACTAAATATTCATGTTAGTAATTCTTACATGTATTCAGTGCTAATAACATCCATACTTATCAAAGCACTTCAAAGGGAATTGCTGTCTTGACAGAAGTGACTGGGTGTTTTACAGGTGAATGTTGCAGCCAATTGGCACACAGCAATGTCCCACAAATAGCCATCAAGTAAGTGACTGGTTATATCTGAGGGATTGTTGGCCAGAAACCCCATTCTCTTTGAGACAAAAGTGCAGGCAGACTCTCCAGTGCAGTGCTGGGGCAGCACTGACCTTGTGTATCCGTTAGATGATGAACTGAGGTATCGTTTGTGCCTCTTCAAGTGGAATTTAAAGATCCCACACTATTCTCTCTCCTAGTGTCCTAGCCAACAATCCCCAGATAAAATGGTGCGGTGATGGGGTAAACAAAGCGCCAGATGTTCTGAAGGGACTAGATCAGATGGGCCGAAGGACCTTCTTCATCCAGACTGTGCTGATTCATTTCCCGAAAACATTCATCCTGTGACCTGATTATTCTCTTTATGTTTGCATAGTGTTGATGGTGGAGATTGTTCCTTGCTGCAGACAGAGATGTCATAGAGCTTCACAAAATACAATGCTAACTGAATTGACTGTATATTTTGTGGGCGAAACGTGGCAGCCAATTGCGCACATCAATTGGAGTCCTGTAGCTCAATGGTTAAAGCACTCGGCTCACAAGTGAGAGACCTGGTTTGATTCCCAGCAGGGCGAAACCTTGGGCAAGTTTGCTTACTCCACATGCCTGATAAAAATCCCTCAAGAAAAAATAAAGTAAAATAATAATTTGCTCACTCAATCCACAGTTGTTTGTGGGACATTGCTGTACGCAATTGGTTACCGTGTTTTGCCCACAAATATACAGTCAATTCATTTTACTGTATATTCTGTGAAGCTCTTTGAGACGTCTAGAAGACATGAAAAGCGCTATATCAAATGCAAAGAGTATTATTATTATCAATGTCCCACAAACAGTCGTGGAATGTGTCACAAAATTATATATGTATATATTTATTTTCTGAAGGGATTATTACCCCCAGAAAGCGATCCATGAATCAACTAACAAGCGGGTTCCTACTTACTGCTAAGTAAACAGAAAGATGTGGTGTAAGCAATCTTGCTATCTTGCTTAAGATTTCACCCTGCCTGGAAAATGAACTCAGGTCCTTTCACTTGCGAGGCAAGTGCTCCAGCCACGATGCTACAGTACTCCACAAGGAGTTGTGTAATAGGCCTGTATTCCTTTGCCGAGTTACATTTTTTCTGCTCTGAGGAGGATAAACTGGCCAGCCTTGGCTATGTCAGGCAAAACTGGAAGATTACAGTGCATTTGAGGAATTGGCTTTTGTGTGTTACAACGAAAGATTTAGTGTTTACTATCTCCCAGATGCACTGCTTTATCCCTTCTTTGTAATGTTTGACTCTGCCAAGAGCCAATCACCAGTCCTATGAGAGATCATCCAATGGTTAAACTCTTTGATCCCAGCTTGGTGGTTGAGCAACGGCACCTGGTTTACATAGTGTGTCTTGTCGATAATGGAGTGTATGACTACACAACAACCTCCCCCGCCTCACACTGCCCCACCACATCACATTGTAGTTGTTGATGATGATGTTGCTGTTGTTGTAATGAGCGCCATTCTGTTTCTCTTTCAGGGCTATTCAAACGCTATCCAAGGATTGCAGAAAGTGGGGCTGATTAATACTGAACCCTGCTCACTGCTCAGCCCAGAAGCTCCTGCTGTCACGTGGGTGTGTATCCTCGGCTTGTGATCTGCTCTGAGAAGCTTATTTGGGGGAGGGCAGTGGTGGGGAGGGAGGGGTTTGACAGCAGTGAGCAGGGTTGGGGGAGGGTTAGATTGCCAGAGTGGAATGAAATGTCAGGATCTAGTTCATTTGTGGTGGTCTCTAGTCTGGTTCCTCAGCCAGGCAGGCCCACAGTACTCTAGGGTACTGCTGATGATAGCCCAGGCGCTGGCTCATCGGCAGTTCTTTGGAAGGACAGACTAATCACTGGAGGCAGAACCTCTTCCCTCTCAGCTCCCATTAACCCTGCAAGCCAAAGCCCTAACGGATAGGGTGATCCAAGTAGGATAAGCTTGGGAAAGCTTGCCAAACAGTGTTCTCATGCTGGGGTCCCTTCGCCTTGACTCTCGACAGGCTGTACCTAATATTCTCTGGAATTAGGTAAGCAGGGTGCATCCCTCCAGGGAGAGAGTGTGCATTCCATTCCAAACACGGGAAAATTTCCATGTGTAGGTGGCAAACATATGTTGGATACTTGTTTGGATACTCTTAAGCAAGGTGATGGGTTTCCGCATGTGTTCGACACCCGGCTGATCACGGTGATGGGTTTCATGTATGTCAAACACCCAGCTGATCACGATGATGGGTTTCCGTGTGTGTCAGACACCTGGCTGATCACGGTGATGGGTTTCCAAATGTCAGACAAACGAAAATGCTCCAACCTAGTGAATCCCATAACTGGGCTTTTGTGTTTCCCCAGAGAGAGCTTCTATGTAACCTGGTAGGAATCGCACCAAGCTCCAGTGTGATTAGTCTAAAAGAAGTGGTCTTCAATATAATCGGGAAGGATGAAAGCCAGATGGAGACTCTTTCATGGTGAGTGCCTCATCACTGTCTTCTCAAAGCTCCCTCGTCACCAAACAAGATATGATCCACAACTTATTATAGTCATAATAATCCTCCCTTTCACTCCGGGCGGCTGAACATCCAAACGCCTCAAAGCGCTTCACACAAGATTGCCCCTAAGTGTAGTGACTGTGTTCTGTAGGCAAACACAGCAGCCCACAAACAGCCATATAATACTGTATAACAATCCTTACCTACCATACAGTAATTATCACATCATCGAGACGTTTCACAGGATACACGGTAAAGCGTAATGATTGTGTATTTTTGTGGATGAATCACATGCCATCAATTTGTGCATAGAAACAAACGTCCCACAAACATCCATGAAGTGAGTGACCAATTTTATCTGGGAGATTGTCAGCCAGGACACAGAGAGAGAAACTCCCATTTTTTTTCAAATAGGGCCATGGGATCTTTAACATCCATTTGAACAGGCACAGATAGGGCCTCGGTTTATCGTCTCATCTGAAGGACGGCGCCTCTAATAATGTAGCGCTTCCCATGAATTGGAGCATGAGCCTGGATTGTGAGCTCCATGTGGGGTCTTGGAACACACAACCTTCTGACTTGGAGACGAGAGCGTGAGCCAGGCTGGTTGAAGTTGTGGATAGGGCTTGACTAGGCTGTGACTCGTTGGTGTCTCGTCACTCAGTGCAGTTTGTTTGTTCCCAATAAAGGCTGGGGCTCTTCGGAGATGAATCCGCCCCCAAAGCACAGTCACTCCTTCATTCTCTCGCTCAACACATGGAGAGCAAAATGGCCTATGGTAAGACACCAACGTGCACCTGTAAAGTGACCATACAGGAGACACCCTGTATGGACTGGTCAGGAGAGGAGACTGGAGAAAAGCGCTAATAAACAAACAAACAAACGGAATGAAATTCGCACGCAGCAACATCCCACAAACAACCATGAAGTGAACGATCAATTTAATTCGGGGGATTATCGGCCAGGAGAAAAATTCTCTCCACTTTTCCAATAGTGACATGGGATCAAAATCTTTCCATTTTATACAGCGTCTTATCTCGTTGTCGAGATGTCTCAAAGAGCTTCAAAGGATACGCTGAAGTGTAGTGATTGTGGAGTAGGCCAGTGCTCACCGAGCAGAGAGCGCAGTTGTTAAAGCAGGTCAAAGCCCAAGTTGTGAGCCTGAGCCTCACTGTTTTCCCTCATTCTCAGTTTGTATGGACGCCGCATGCGTTCCTGCTAACTCCAAGTTCCTTAGCACGCTTGTTCCTTACTCAGCTTTCAAGGAGTCAGCATAATTCAGTGAGCATTAAGCAGATTAATGTCTCAGCAGATGGAATTCATTATAATTTATAACCCTGTTGCTCTGACCTGTCCCTTTGACCAGCACGTTGCGTGTCATTCCCTTGAATGCTAGTTGCCAGTTATCATGCAAATTTTCATTTGGAAAGTCAGCTAAATATAGCAAAACTTGCATTTATATAACGCCCTTCTCTCCCAGCGCACCAAGACATTATCCTGCATGAGGGGTGCTGTATAAATGCAGTAATAACGTGCTTTAATTTGAAACATTAATGCTTGCACTTGTTACAAACTCCAGGGGTGTGTGGAAAGGGCAGGTTAATGGGACTGAAAGGATGGTTCTTTAAAAAAGCAGCACAGACTCGATGGGCTTTCTACTGTGCTGTACGTTTCTCTGGTTCTGTTATTATGTGTTGAAACGTCTCAAAGTGTTTCACGGTGGTTTCTGTAAAGTGCAGTGACTGCATTTGCCACCAGCCATTTTGCGCATAGCAGTGGAGCAAGTGATTGATGTTACCTGGGGGATTGTCGGCCAGGACACCGGGAGAGAGAAACTTCCTTCTCTTTTCCAATAGCGTTGCAGGATCCTTAATGTCCACCTGAACAAGCACAGACGGGACCTCAGTTTAACTTCTCATCCGAAGGATGGCATCCCCAACAATGCAGCGCTCTCTCAGCACTGCACTGGAGTGTTAGCCTCGATTGTGAGCTCAAATTCCCCAACGTTTTGATTCAGACATGAGAATGTGAGAGAGTGAGCTAGGCTGAGATCATAGTTAAGCACATTAAATGTTTGGCGGATATTATGATGGACAGTGGACAACACTGAGTGGTGACTGGTGACCAGTGGCTGGTGGTGTGGGCACTAACCTGTGTTGATCTTCCTTCAGCCCCTGGTGAACGAGACCTGATTGTCATGAGGAATGATGTTGGGATCAGACACCCTTCTGGCCAGCTGGAGATCAAGCACTACAGCCTGGTGGTTTACGGGGACCCAGCTGGCTTCTCGGCAATGGCTAAGACCGTGGGCTTGCCGTGTGCCATTGGTGCCGAGTTGCTTCTGGACGGTAAATACTCCAATCCATTACTCCATTTACCTAGTGTGCTCTCGAAGGGCAAGCTGTGTGGTTTTAGTTAGACTCCAGCGGCTACCACAACACACGCTCTGAGGTCCCCAAGCCTTGGCTCTCTCTATGACCCTGTGTGTGTGAGTGTATATGTAGGTGTAGCTGTGTATGCGTGTATGTGTGTCTCGCGCTCTCTGACTCTCTGTGCCTGTGTATATACATATGTGTGTGTCTCTCCCTCTCTATGCCTGTGTATATGTGTGTGTCCATATGTCCGTGTCCATATGTGTTTCTATGACTCTGCTGTGTATGTGTGCATATCTTTCTCTCTGTATGACTCTCTGTGCCTGTATGTGTGGGTGTACCTCTCTCTCCACCTGGGTTACGGTGGTCCTATCTGAACAAGCACGATAAGCTTGCCAAACAGTGCACCTTGTGTTATTTTAGCTGGTTAAACTCCAGCAGTTATTTTAATGGACACCCTGGGCTACCTCTGCAAACCCACCCATGGCCACTTCCCCTCTCCCACGCTCAGTGCCACCCGTCTCCCCAAAACGCTCATAGGCGCTCCCCAATATGACGGGCGCTGTGTAAATACAGATTGTGCTTTGCTGTGATTGAATTGTTGGGTGTTGACAGGTGAAATCCAGACGAAAGGAATGGTGGTTCCATTGACACGAGACATCTACCAGCCGGTGCTGGACCGTATCAAGTTTGAGGGCATTTCCTACACCACAAGCAGTACTTTTTGCTAAAGACAATGGTGATGTGAAGACCACATCTTGCCAGACCTTACTGATGTTTTTCTGGAGAGCTGAAGTCTTGTAGGGGTGGGGTGGTCTTCTCAATGTATCTGAAGCCTGTCATTGCTACTGTAACCATGTGCGTAAATGCTCCAGCAGTCCTGCAACCACCTTCATTCATTCTGATTTTGAAACTGATTCCTGTTTAATCTTAATTAGTCAATTAATTAATCTAAACCAAAGCAAGCATTATTGAAATTATATTATTATAATTATAACCCTTGCTATCAGTACAGCATCTTTCATGTCGGGAGGACTTCTCAAAACTCTTCACAGGATTCATAGTGGGGCAACTATGTGTTTTGTGCAGGCGAATGCAGCAGTTTTGTGCACAGCAAAGTCCTGTATTATTTGGGGGAGGGGTGCAGGGAGGTTGTGAGTTAGGATGAAACCAGGGATGGCAGGAAGGGCGAGGGGGTTTGTCTGTTCCCCTCTTCTGGGAAATGCTCTACACTGTCCAGCGCCTTGGGACGTCCTCTCGACGTAAAAGCCGCTATACAAATGTAATCTTCTTGTTGTTGTTGCGAGCTCACCAGCGAGTGGTGGGGTAAAGCTGGGCAGTGCTTCACAGTCCGATTGAGTCACAGAACAGTCACTTCTCTCTACAGCGAAGCGCTTCGAGACGGTCTCCAGGTGTGAAAGATGCTGTATCAAATGTAAAGATTATGATTTTTATTATTATGATTATGACTGACTGACTTCTTGTGACATCAAAGCATCCACAGCCATGTGTAACTGTGTTTAATACTATTTGTCTTTTCCATTCAAGAAATAAAAGGAAATGGTAATAACAGTTGTTGTGCATTGTGAGAAAAAATAGCCAAATTTGCTTGGTTTGCCAATTGTTTTGTTGACAGTTTTGAGAAGCGTACATGCTGGGGGCAGGGGGTGGAGAGGGGGGGGGTGGAAGCCCTTCATTGTCGGAGACAGTGTTCTTCGGATAAGACATTAAACCAAGGTCCCATCTGTGCCTGTTGAGGCAGACTTTAAACATGTCATGATGAGAAGGGAGTTTCTCTCTCCTGGTGTCCCAGCTGCCGATTACATGATGGTTGATGTTACAGTGGCTGAGGAATGCAACTAAGATCAACCCCGCTCCTTTATCCCTCCATTCCCTTCTCCCTCCCTATTTCTAGGCTGTAAAATCCCACAATTCTCATTGAAACATTTCACCCTAAAGTTCATTTTTTTGAGAAAAANTTCTAAATTCACTTTTCCCCCAGAGGAGGGTTAGACACAGGCTGTAATACCCATTCCACTTACTCACGCGAGAGAGAATTCCCGAAATCTCCACATAGATCCCAAACCAGAATCCACCTCGCTGTTTTCCTGTTTACACAAGTTAGATTGAAACTCCAAACTAGTACAAAAGAAACCCTGCTTTATTATTTTTTTTCCTTTGCAGAACTGGAAATAAGTTTAAATGTTAAAAACAATGTTTTCTTCTTCTCTGTGTCTCTTTCTGGTACTCTATGAAAAGTGACCGCAATTTGTAATTCTGACTATACGTTAAATACCAGACTGCCCGGCGGGTAACTGGGAATATTGGAGGAAGGGGGAGTTACAGTGCAGTTTTAAGTTAGTCTGCTCTGTAATGGGTAAAATCATCTCCACAGAGGGTGACTCAACTCTGGAACCCCGATGCTTTGAAAAATTAAACTCTCTACATCTACCGCATAATTCGCTGTTACAATCTCATGCTGTTAAACTTTTGAAATGATATCAACTAACTCGCCCTGCAACGTATGACTAAGTGCGTAAATCCAGGGGGGCAGTTAAAGCAAAGCAATTAATTAGACAACTCGTCATCGCGACCTCAAAACAAAACACCACAAAAAAAGGAAGACTTAGAAAAAGCCTTTTGTAGTAAAATATAAAAGTCTAGAATTGTGAATGGCGATTCTGTTGCGTGAGCTTGCTCTATTTACATTATGTATTAGAAGATTAATCACTTTTAAAACAATGTCCACATCACTCTGACAATTCCGCTCTGATCAGCCAAAATAAGGGGCTTGTGGTTCTGTCTGTTTCTTTGCCTTTTGTCCGGCTTGCCCTTTAAGTCACTTGAACGTTGGCTGCGAAACCTCGATGGCTGGAAAGCAGAGCTGGTGAGAGGAATGGCCAGACACACAGAGAGAGATAGAGAGTGGATTTTACTTGCAGCCATTGGGGACGATTTGGATGAACTTTGGTCCTTAACCTTTTAATCTGAGGTCTGAACTCGTGGTCTGTCAGACAAGTCTGACCTGAGGATGCTGGGGTCTCCATAGTGGTCACTATTTGTCAGAAGTAAGGTCTGGAGCTAAGAGTTGTTTGGCATTCCGTAGTGAGACAGGGCAGTGTTGGAGGCTGTTAGACAAGGGTGGATTTCACCCTTCCCAATGGGAGGGAACAGCAACTGAGTGGAATATTAACTGCAGCAGACAGAATAATTTTATGCTCACAATGAAGCAGTGCCCCGGAGTACTGCAGACCCACCTAGCTCAGGAACAGGACTAGAGACCATCACAGAGGTTGGACTCGATTCCGACATTTTGTTGTTAAGTATGTCCTTGGAGCCAGCTCAGCTCCCAAAAGATTCTGCTTACTCTTCTGAACCCAATCCCATCTAAAGGAAAATCTGGGGATAAACTTGGGAATGGCCTCAGTGTGGAGTTGGGATGGGGGGCAGTGGAAGATCACAAGGTATTTGTGAGCTCTTGCTAAGATCTTAAAGAGCTTTTTCTCTCTGTCTCTCTCTCTGTATCATGAGAAAACATATGAGGGGCAGTTAGACCAATGATTCCATACTCTCAGCTCTGCTGCGCTCCTCTGTTGTCAGGGCTAGGCCATTGTCCATTGAGCTTCCAGGGTTCAGATCATCTCTGTTGCTAACCACGCTGAGAACAGCAGTGTATAAAAACTGGTACTGATCCTGTGGATATAGATCACATGAGATCAAAGGCAAGTTCATACCAGCATAAAGTGCCCAAGTGCTCTCATTTCACAGTTTGGGGATAACCGGGGGGGTAGCTGAAAGACAACCCAGCCCATTCCAGCTCAGCCCAATACAACCCAGCCCAATATAACACACCCCAAACCAGCTCAGCCCAACCTAACTTGTACCAACCCAGCCTAGCCCAGCCCAACCGAATACAGCCCAATCCAACTCAGCCCAACCCAGTCCAATCCAACCCAGGCCGTCTGAGCCTAACCCAATAACAACTTGCATTTATAAAGCGCCCCTCACGCAGGTAGCATCCCAGAGCGCTTACCAGTTCAGCCCACCCCAGCTGAGCCTAACCCAGCCCAGCCTCAGTCTGGCAGAAACTGCAGTGACTTACGACGTGGGTGAAGACTCCGGGTCGCATCAGATTGATGAGTTTTGCCACATGGTAAACGTCCACCGTGTTCTCACTCTCCAGCTGGGTAACGAGTGTTGTCAGAGCGCAGAAAGTGCCGGCTGTGACTCCCCCGTGCCTGCACAGAACACCCAGTGAGAGTCAGAGAAACTCTTATTAGTTACTCCCTTTCCATCACTCTCCCTCCGCTCTCCATTATTCTCCCCGTCTCCATATCTCCCTCCCTCTACCTCACTCTCCCTTTCTCTCCATCTCTCCCTCCCTCTCATGACTCCCCCTCCCTCTCCACCTCTCTCCCTCTTCATCATTCTCCCTCCCTCTCCGTCTCTCCGTCTCTCTCGCTCTCTCTGTCTCTTTTTATCCCTCTCCATCTGTTGTTCCCTCCCACACTCTGCAAAGGCTGGTGCTAATTTAGCCTCTGGAAAACTAACTGTGGAAAAGAATGTCATTATGCTATTTGAACGGACATGTGGCAAGTCCAATTTGCGAGAATCCCCAAAAGATTTTTAATCAGGGAATCAGGCAACTCAAGTGTCCTGGGCTGACCTCCAGGAATTCCGTTCAGTTGCAACATTCAGCTCCATTCCTACTTCCAAGAGTTGCAACAACAACAATTTGAACATTTCCTGTAAAGGATTGTCTCAAAGCGTGATAGAGGGAGACCAAGCTGGGTGGGAGATTGCGGGAGAGAGGGGGGTGGGGGGTTTGGATGTGTTATGGAAGCGGAGAGGAGTGGGGAGGGGAGATTGAGATGGAAGGGTTTGGGGGGAGTTCCTGAGATCAGGGCAAAATGGCTTAAAGCTCAGCCACAGGGGGGCGCGGGTCAGTGGAGCAGGTCTGAGCGTATGGGGTGGAGGGAGTGGGCGGGGCACAGGGAGAGGGGTGGAGGGAGTGGCGGGCGGAACGAGTGGGGAGGAGGGAGGGGTGGAGCAGACAGAGTGGGCAGGTGGAGGGAACAGCTGGGATGGAGTAAGTGAGCAGGCAGAGAGCGTGGAGAGGAGGCAGAGGATGAGATGGAGGGATAGGGTGAGGTGTAGGGAGAGGGTGAGGTGGAGAGAGAGGGCAGGATGGAGTAAAGATGCAAAAGGGTGGGAAGGGTGGGGCAGGGGATAGGGCAATATGGATGGAGAGCTGAATGGATGGAGTGAGCGGGGCAGAGGGAGGAGAAGGGCAGGATTGCTATTTCTCTTTTTGTCAATGTAGCAAACCAGGATAAAAGGAGCAAAATGGAAGCGTGAACGCATTGGTCTGTGCATTGACTAAAGTAATTTAGTGCCTAAGTTCTTTGATATCGAGTCAGAAAAAAGGAAGTTAAAGGAGACCCACTCATCGTGGACTACTGATGGCCCATCTCTCGTTGCGGCTTCTTCTCGTATTATGTTGATGAGCTCAAAGGTTTTGCTGATGGGCCCGTCAGGGTTTGGCCATTTGGGAGTCTGGTAATGTCTCACCTCAAGCACATAGTCATCCTGTGGATTCAGAGAAAAGTCACTGTAACCTGGGTTTGTCACATGGTGGCACTCAGGATCAAAGGAGCTGGGAGAACAATTGACCGCTGTTCTGGGAAGATTAGAAATATGGACACTGAGAGCACAGTCGGAGGCGATTGGCCCAGCTTGGCTTTTTTTTTGCTCTCTGAGAGCTATCCGTTTACCTGATATATGAGACGGCTTTGCCATTGGAAAAAAGAAGAGTTTCTTTCTCCCAATGTCCTGACCAACAATCCCCAGATAAAATCAGTCACTCACTTCATGGCTGTTTGTTAGACATTGCTGTGCGCAACTTGGCTGCCGCATTCGTCTGCAAAATATAGTTACTACACTTTTCATAAATCTTGTGAGGTACTTTGACACAGTTTAATGTTACAGAGGTCTGTATCAAACATGAGGTTTATAATAATAATATTCCTCACATTTGATTAAGTGCTTTTTACGTCGTTGAGATGTCTCAAAGTGCTTCACAGTAAATGTGGTAGCCAATTTGTGTACAGCAGCGTACCACAAACAGCCACAAAGTGAATAACCAATTTTATTTGAGGTACTGTAGATGAGGACACTGGGAGGATGAAATTCCCTTCTCTTTTCCAATAGAGCCAAAGGATCTTTAGCATCCACCTGATCATGCGGATAGGACCTCGGTTTAACTTCTCATCCGAATGACAGCACCCTGACAATACAGCCCTCTCCACCAGTACTGCACTGGAGTTTCTGCCTAGACTGGGAGCATTTACAATCCTATCGGCTGATCTGATTGCTTTGTGTTCAGACAGTCAGTGGGTTAGGTTGTCAACATGAAGCTTCCCTTGTAAATTGATAGCGGTGGAAGCTTTTTCCCAGGACTCTCTGTGTCTTTTGGAGTGAGAGAATGGGAGAGATGACAGTGATGGCAGATGGTGTGAGAGACAAGTGCATTGAAAGTGGTTTCATAAGTAGTCAGACGTAAGTTATCAGGAGGCAGCCAAATCTCAGGTGACCTGCACATGTCTTCTTTGACTGCACAGCTCAGCACGTGACACATCGGAATTTTCCCAAAGTAAATACTCTGCCCTTAGTCACTGTTACACACAGGGTAAATATTCTGTCACAGTCACTTTGACACACAGGGTAAGCTCTCTGTCACAGTCACTGTTACACACAGGGTAAATGAGTCGAGACCGAGTCCTGGCTTCGTACCTGGGTGGCCTCCAATATGAAATCCTGGACAATGAGTGGCTCCTCGTTGGCCAGACATACATGGCTCTCTCCAATCAGCCTCACTGTGAACGCCTCGCACACCATCCCCTCATCCTTCTGTGGCCAGTAAATGCACTCGTCCGTCTGGAACACAATGGAGCGACCAGTTGTTAATCCACACAACCAGCACCTAAATCTTCCACTCTCACTCCTAGGTCACGCTTCACGTTACCATGCTCGTTCTCACCTTAAAATCGTTCTACACTCTCGCCCCGACCCCAACTTGCCGCAACCTCCACAAAGCCTACCAATCCGGCCACTCCCTTTGCGGGCCTTTTTCACGTACCCCATCCTGCTCTCCCCACCATCAGTGACCGAGCTTTCAGCCACTCTGCCCCCTTGTTCTACTGTCTCGATGCATCCTAAAGTATCGATCTTGGTTTACTTTTTCAATCCCAATTAACATTTTATACACCTCCAAAAGGTCCCATCTGAGTCATCGTCTCTCAAGACTGAAGAACCAATTGTCCAATTGTTATAATGTTTGCATTTTATACAGCGCCTATGAAGTCAAAACTTCTCAAAACACTTGAGGTTTTTCCTATGAGACGTGGTGACTGTGTGCTTTGTGAACGAATGCAGCAGCCAATTTGAACACAGCAATGTCCTGCAAATAATTATGAAGTAAATGACCGATTTTATCTGGGAAATTGTCAGCCAGGACACTGGGAAGCTTCTTTCTGTTTTCCAAGAGTTCCTCGGAATCTTTAACATCCACCTCAACAGGCACAGATTGGCCCTCGGTTTAATGAGTGTAGGATGTGGAAAATTGGTTCCCACGTTCGCCTACAAAATACACAAGGTAACCACAATTTGCAGTAAAATCTGGTGAAGCGCTCTGAGATGTTTTGACGACATGATCTGAAATGCAAGGATTATTACTATTATCAGTAAAGGCGACAATCAATCTCACTTCTCAAGCATTTTACTTTTGAACCCAAATAAACAGTGTCATTACCAGCCCCTGACTGTCTGGCAGCATCACAATGATCTGAGCATTGTGATCCCATATCGTCTTCCAGAAGTCTCTCACTGTGTGCGGCAGTGGGTGCTGAGTGACGATGAACTCGTTGCTTTGACGGAATCCCTAGAAATGAAATTTGGAAATGCTCAACAACAACAAATGCATTTATGTAGCACCTTTCACATGGGGGGATATCCCAAGGTGCTGGACAGTTGAGGGTTTGCACCTGAGCTGTGGGTTGGGATCAGAGGGGTGGAGGGTAAGGGGCATGGGATGGAAGATGACTGAAGGCACGGTCAATGAGGATGGTCTTGAGATGGGCCTTGAAGAAGGCAAGGGATGGAGGCAAGATTGAGGGCTCCGGTATGGAATTCCAGAGGTTGGGGCAGAAGGCCCAACATCCGATAGTGGCTCCAGGGTTAGGTGAAATGTCAGAATCAAATCCAGCCTCTGTGATGGTCTCCAGTACAGTCTGTCAGACACCAGGCTGATCATAGTGACGGGTCTCTGCGTATGTCAGACACCCAATGATCGCAATGGGCACTGGGTTACTCACCGCTATATAAGAGGCGTTGATGTAATCTGACTCGTCGGAAGAAGTTGTGGTGAGACAGACTCTCGATTTCTCCACTGCAATTGAAAAACACGTCACTTCACAGCCAGCGGGTTACCTTTTATATCGGGCACATTTCTATAAAGACCCCACAACAAACAGACAGATTGGACCTCAGTTTAACCAAAGGACGGAACCTCCAACAATGCGTCGCTACCCCCCGCACTTATTGGAGCCTCAGCCTGGACTGTGAGCTCAAAGCCCTCGAAGTGGGTGGTGGTGGGGGGGGATGCGGGAGGGGGTAGGCGTCGGGGTGGAATGGAGGCATAATTTGAGGGGCAAATAGCCAATCCTGCTCAGTGAAAGATAAATAAGGCTCTTACATAACAATACCTGACCCCCATGTATGCACCCCTGCACCCACTCGCTCTGTGCACCTCTCCCCACCCCACTACACCGAGCTACTTTCAGTCAGTTTGTGGGGAATGTAAAGGTACCAGGAATTATAGATGAGTTTCTGTTCTTCTCTCTGTTACACGGCTTCAGTGCAGTGGAGTAATCACACTGCTTGGCATGAGATTGGCTGAGTAGCTGTGGAGAGACAGAGAGAGAGAGAACGTGACTGAGAGAGAGAACAAGAGTGAGGACAAGAGAGAGAGAGAGAGAAAGAGAACGTGAATGAGACAGAGGAAAAAATGCAACAGAGAAATACAGATAGCACATGAGAGAAACAAGAGAGATAGAACTTGAGAAAGAAACAGTGACAAAGTAAGAACTTGAGAGAGAGAAAATGGGAGAGAGACATAACGCAAGAGAGAAACAGATAGGGAGATAAAACAGAGAGAGAGAAACCAAAAGAGAGAGACTGAGACAGAGAGGTGAACGATTGAAAAATAGTTTGTGAATGCAGCAGTCTACGGTGATGGCTTTTCCACTACTGAATAATTTTCAACCACAGGTCCATTCCCAACGATCGCCATGGTTAATATTACAAAGACGCTCCTGCATGGAAACAGGCCACTCGGCCCAACCAGTCACCATCCCTCCTATTCCCCCTTCTTCATCCTCTATTCCACTCTATTACACCCGTATATTCCCCTCTCCTACACTCCTATTACCCTCTCCTAGACCCTTCTATTACCAAATCCTCCACACCCCTATTCTTCTGTCCAACACCCCTCTATTGTCCCCTCCCTTATGCTCTATTCCCCTCTCCTTAAATTGCTCTTTGCAACCCTGAACAAGAGGTTCAAATCAGCACTAGGAAGCTTTTCTTTACCCAGAGGGTAATTAATGGCTGGAACACGTTAATAAGAAGGCCAGGACACAGGGACTCATTTGAGTGCAGCTTGATGCTGTGATGGGGCGACAGTGGGGTAGGGAGCTGGGGAGGTTCCAGAGGGATAGACGGAAGAGCTTCCCTTATCCAAGGTTGTGAGCTGAACAGTCTGAGTTTGTGAAATGTTGCCAATGCCTCACCTTAAATTGTGTCTCCAACCCGATCTTTCCCGACGCTCTAGGGGTGAGCACAGCATTGATGTAGGAATGGAAATGGCTAGCAGCCACCTCGGTCTCCTTACTCTGGATCACCTCCACCAGAGCATCATGAATGAAGATGTATTGTTCCTGGTAGGAAAAGCAGGGACACCTCAGCATTATCTTCATGTTCCAAAGCCACCACAAAAGCTTCTCATCACAGATGATTATGGGGCTTTTATAGGGTTCTTTGTTCACTGGGTGTCTGACACTCATGGAAACTCATCACTGTGATCAGCAGGGTGTCTGACACACATAGAAACCCATCACCATGATCAGCTGGGTGTCTTATACAGACAAAAACAGCGGAAAGGTATCTGCCATCTAAACATGGAAATCTCCCTGTGTTTGAAATGTAATACGCACTCTCTCCCTGGAGGGATGCATCCTGCTCACACAGGCCCAGAGTATTAGGCTGAAATTTCTCTTCTAGCCCATCTCTTGAGGCGTTCTTCAGGGCTCTGTCCTTGGTCCTGTTCAATAACTATATGCTCCCTCTTGGTGACATCATTCGCAGACATGGGGTCAACTTCCACATGCATGCGGATGACACCCAACTGTATCTCTTTGCCTCCACCCTTTATTCCAGGCCCACTGCTGTCCTGGCAGAATGTCTACCAGACATCAAATCCTGGATGAGAGCTAAGCTTCTTCAGTTGAATGTCAACAAGACCAAGGTCCTCCTGATTGGCTACCGTTAGCCCCTGCACACCACAGGTGCTAATAGCATCACTATCCATGGATGCACACTCCACCTTACTAAGCCAGTCTGGAACCTTGGCGTCTTGTTTGACCCTCAACTATCCTTTCTACCCCACACATGTTCCATGACCCCTCTGCCTTCCCCCATCTCTGCAACATTGTCCAGCTCTGCCACTGTCTCAAAACGCAGGCCCCCGAAACCCTCATACATGCATTCATAACATTAAGGCTTGACTATGCAAAACTCCTTGCTTGTCAGCCTCCCTGACTCCTCCCTCCAGGTCATCCAGAACTCTGCAGTCTGTGTCCTCTCCCGCACCATGCTCCATGACCATATCATCGCCATCCTCACCCAACACTGGCTTCCCATCACTCAGAGGATACAGTTCAAGATCCTGGTCCTCACCTTCAAAGCCCTCCATGGCCTTGATTCCCCCCTACCTCTGTGACCTTCTAACCCCCTACCAGCCCGCCCGCTCCTTCTGCTCAGAGGGGCCCAGCCTACTTCTCGTCCCCAGCCTCGCCCACCCCACCATTGGCATGCAGGCCTTCTGTCATTCTGCCCCTACCGTCTGGAACTCTATCCCAGTCCCTCCACCTTGCCCCCTCCCCTGCCTCCTTCAAGACGCATCTCAAGACTCTCCTCTTCGACCGTGCTTTCAATCTCCCTGCTTCGCTCCCTGCCCTCCACCCTCCCCAATCCCGAACCCCAGCTCGGGTCCAAAACACTATCTGTCCAGCACCTCGGGACATCCTTCCGATGTGAAAGGGGCTATACAAATGTAATTTTGTTGTTTTTGTTGAAATTGGCAAGAGACAATGCTTGGGGATCCCAGAGTGTACGTAACTGCTGGAGTCTAACCAGCTAAAACCACATAGCTTGCCATCTTCAAGCTTTCCCACTGCTTGTCCAGCTAGAAACACCCTCCCCGTTAGGGCTTTGGCTTGCAGGAAGGTTAACAGGAGCTGAGTGGGAAGAGTCCCTGCCCCCAGTAACTGGTCTCCCCCTCCAATTCCTGCTGATGAGCCAGGTTGGGCTGAGCTGTCATCATCAGTGCACCTTCAGTATCTCAGACCCACGTGGTGCAGGAACTGGATAGAGACCATCACAGAGGGTGGACTCGATTCTGACATTCCAATTCTATGGCCCAGCATGTCACCTTTGCCCAGCAGTTCAGCTTTGAGAAGACTCTGCTTACCATGTTAAACCAAAGCTCTGTCTATTAGTGGACATTAAAGATCTCACGGTACTATTTGAAAAGAGAAAGGAATTTCTCTCTCCAGGTGTCTTGGCCAACAATCCCCCAGATTAAAAAAATCAGTCATTCACCTCACGGCGGTTTGTGGAATGTTGCTGTGCACAAACTGGCTGCCGAGTTTGAATACAAAATAAACAGTCACTCCACATTATAGTGTATCCTGTGAAATGCTTTGATGAGGCATTTGCTTATATGAAATGCAAGGATTATTATTTATTAACTGTGCAGCTTTGGCTTACCTCCGTCTGCACTAAGTAGTTCCTCTGGGTTCTGATGTGTTTGAGGAAGCCCAGCACATTGACTGAACCTTTGTGTCTGATCTGCTGTAACATGCTGTCTATGACTATGTACGTGCCTGTACGCCCAACACCAGCACTGTAAAAGACAGAGGACCGTCCCGTTATAAAACAGTTCTTTCACGTTTATGTTGTGTTTTTAACGTCCACCTGGACAAGCAGATGGGACCATGGCTTAACATCTTATCCAAAGGACATTAAACCAGTGTTCTACCTGTGTCTATTCAGGTGGAGATTAAAGATTGTTAAACAGCAACAAGATTACATTTGTATAGCGCCTTTCACATCGGGAGGACGTCCCAAGGTGCTGGAAAAAGATCACTTCTATTGGAAAAGAGGAGGAAGATTCTGACAATTTCCCAAATAAAATTGTTCACTACACTTAACAGTAAATCCTGTGAATCGCTCTTCTCGACATAATAAGACGGTGAATCAAAAACAAGAATTCTCGTGATTTCAACACATTCCCCAGGAGAATGATGGTATGAGGCCAAGAACTCACCTGCAGTGCACGACCAGTGGTCCCATCAGGTGGCTCTGTGCGGCTGACGACTGCTGGATGAAGCTGAGGATGGGCAGTGTGTACTGGGGCACACCCATGTCTGGCCACTGAGTGTAGTGATACTGCACCACTGTCCTGTCACTCGGCCTCCCCTTCAGAGACCCCTGTAACGCACCCAAAGAGAGTGTCAAGTCCTGGCAACAACCACAAAATCACACAAGATCTCACAAGATCACACAAAGTCACACACAATCAGTTTGGATCATAAGATAACAAGATAACGAGATCATGACCAGCGCTTTGGGACGTCCTCCCGACGTGAAAGGCGCTCTATAAATGGAATCTTGTTGTTGTTATTGTTGTAGGTTGCTCGGCTATATTGCTAAATCAGTTGCTATACTATGATATTGTAAACGATCCCGTCACAAGATGAGTCTGGATGTAGTTGGCCCTTCTGCCTATCCCTCTCGAACCCCACCTTCCCTCGAACTGTCCCCCCATTACAGCATTAAGCTGATTTTTAAATGAGTCCCAGTGTCCTGGCCTCAACCACCTTTCCTCGCAATCTGTTCCCATCGTTAATTACCTGCTGGGTAAAGAAAAACATCCTGGTGTCTGTCCTGAAATTGCCCTTTACAACTCTAAGGCTGTGTCCTCTTGTTCTACTATCCTGGTGCATCCTTTGACTCATCTTTTCCCTAATCATTGCTCAAAGCTCATTCCTCTAACAATGGTGATCATTCTCATTGCTCTCCTCTGCATTGCCTCTCGGGCCCTAGTGACCAGAATTTATACAGTATTCAAGTTAAGGCCTAACCAAGAGAACTGTACAGCCTGAGTCTGACGTCTGGGGATCTAAACTCAACTGATTCAACAATCTAGCCCGGCATCCTGTTTGCCTTGTTTATTGTTGCCAAATGGATCGCTTACCTTCTTCACCCTGGTGTTGTAAATGGAGAAATGCCTAATGCTGTAATAGGCCATGACCTTGGTGCTCTTCAATGTCACCGCAATGCCACCGTACTCCTCGCTGCTCTCTGATGGCCAGTACTGGTCACATTTTCTCTGAAGGCAAAAGTAAAGAGATTAAAACAAAATGCTTTCCTGACACTCCAGCACAGTGCATTATAATGGGGGTGCATTATCAAAGCCGCCATCTTTCAGATGAGAGGAAACGTCTCAGAGGGGAACCTTAAATGGGATTGTAAAAGTAAACCGAGATCAATACTTTAGGATGTGCATGAGGGGTGCTATATAAATGCAAATTGTTGTTGTATCAAAGTTTATATTTAGGTTCAGGTTACAAACTCAGGTTTAGAGTTGTAAACGGCAATTTCAGGACAGATATCAGGAAGTTTTTTTTTTACCCAGAGAGTAATTAAAGGGCTGCCAGGAAGGGTGGTTGAGGCCAGGATACTGGGACTGAATTAAAAAACAGCTTGATGCAGATTACGGTAGGGTGGATGTTATGGAGGGATGAGATAGGATGGGCTGAAGGTTCTTCTTCATCCAAAACAATTTTGGAGACATTAAACCAAGTTCCCGGTCTGTGCCTATTCAGGTGGATGTTAAAGATCACTCAGTGCTATTGGAAAAGGGAAGGGGGTTTCTCTCTCCTGATGTCCTGGCTGATAATCCCTCAGATACAATTGGTCATCGTTGTGTGTGGGATATTGATGTGTGCAAATATGATGCTGCGTTTCGCCCACGAAATACAGTCACTTTAAGGGTAACTGCCAGCAAAGTGCTTTAAGACATTTCAGTGTTTTAGTAAGTCAAATGCAAGGATTTTTATAATTAATGTGGAATATTAAAAACTTACCCTTCCCTTTTCAACCAGGTTGGTGATCATAACGATGACACCCACATTGTGCTCCCAAATCATCCTCCAGAAATCGTCAGACGTTGATTTAAGTGGACCTTGAGCTGCTATGTAAGCCTTTTGCCTTTCGTAGCCCTGTTTCACAGAAGAACAAGACTTCAGCCCCTCTGTGCCATTAGGTACCAGTCAGATATCATCCTGTAAATTACATGTCAGCTTGGCTCAGTTGGGAGCACTCTCGTCTCTGAGTCAGATATGTGTGGGTTTAAATCAGAAGGTTGTGGGTTCAAACCCCACATTGAGCTCACAGTACAGCGGCTGGGGGCCCCAATGTTGGAGACGTCATCTTTCGGAGGAGAGATTTCAACCACGGTCTCATCTGTGCTTGTCCAGGTGGACGTTAAAGATCCCGGACACTATTGTTTAAAAAGAGAAGAGAGTTTCTCTCTCCCGGTGTCCTGGCTGGCAATCCCCCAGAAAAATTGATCACTCATTCCATGGTTGTTTGTGTGAAATTGCTTTGTACAAATTGAAGTTCGCCTATTAAATACAGACACTATATTTCACGTAAATCCTGTGAAATGCTTTTTGAGACACCTTGATGAAGTGCTTAGGTGTTACAGGACACGCAAGGATTATTATTAACCCAGGTCAGAAAATTTAAGCTCCACTTTGGGCTCTGAGCTCCCAGTGGATTCTGACACTTCAGTGCAGTGCTGAGGAAGCACTACATTGCCACAGTTATCTGTGCACTGTGTGTCACCTTGGCTCAGTCAGTAATACTCTTCTCTCTGAGTCAGAAGGTTGTGGGTTCAAGTCCACATCGGGGACTTTAAGCTCTCGGTCTAAGCTGACACTGCAGAGCAGCGCTGAGGGGAGCGCTGAAGGTGTGACTCACGTCTATGTAGTTGGCATTGATGTAGTCACTGTGTTTGGAGTCTTTTTCCAATAGTGGTGAAAGTTTCACGCGGCTATGATCGACTGAAAACAAACACAACACCCTTTTTATATCAAAACTGAAACACTAAAAAAAGTAAAATTCACAACATCTCATTTACTCACAGGTTCCCTCCCCCATATTATGGGACGGTGCTGTGTGTGAATCGGCTGCCACATTTGTCTACAAAATACACAGTCACTACACTTTACGGTATAAATCTTCTAATGAGAAGTTAAATCGAGGTCCCATCTGTGCTTGTTCAGGTGGATGTTAAAGCTCCATGGCACTATTAGAAAAGAGAAGGGAGTTTCACTCTCCCGGTGCAACCGGCCAACAATTGCACATATTAAATCAGTTGTTCTCTTCACAGCTGTTTGTGATAACATTGCTGTGTGTATGCACATTTGCTGCCACTTTTGTCACAAAACACAGTCACTACACGCTACAGTGTATCCTGTGAAGTGCTTTGAAACATCTCCTCACAAGAAAGGCAAGGATTATAATTATTAATTATTATCATCATTATTATTGCGTCTGAAGAAAAATAGAAATAGCTCCTCAAGGGTGCTCCAGTGGAAATATTGGGGTGGGGCGGGGGGGGGGCGGGGTGGGGGCGAGTGACTTACAAGCGACGATATTGATGTAGCGATTCTTGTTTTTGTTGTCTGGGTGGTTGGAGCAGTCTGATGTGATATCAACGTCAACAGTGCATCCCTGCACCTCCTGTGGGAACGAAGAGGAATACAGGTCACAAGGACAGCAATGACAACGGCAACTTGCATTTATATTGCGCCCTTCACATGGGGTAGCGTCTTGAAGTACTGAACAACGGACAGACTCAATTCTTCCATTGGACATCATTTATCTGGTGAGACATCTAATGTCACACCCATCACCTATGTTTCTTTAATAATGCCAGCATCAGAAGTTGTGGTAAATTACATTTTTTTTACATGTGTCCCTAGATTTGGATTACAATATCTGGTCACTCCCTTCCCCCTGCCCCTCCCATGCTCAATGTCTGACCTGCCCACGTGCAGTGTTCCAAGATGGCATCCATATTAACCTCTGACCCCACACCCCTCTCTGATGTTAACCTCTGACCCCATACCCCTCTTGAGCGCGCAACCCTGCCCAGATGTTTTTGGGGGGCTGGGTGTCTGACCCATCACTATGCTTAAGAATATCCAACCCAAACTGAGAATTCCATGCATCCTATAACTACACATGGAACTTCTAGAGATGATTTTGGAATGGAATGTGCACTCTCTCCCTGGAGGGACACAGTCTGCTTATGTAATTCAGAGCATTAGGCACAGGTTGGTGGGAGCTAAGACTTGGGGATTCCAGAGCGTGCGTTTGGATAACCGCTGCAGTCTAACTAGCTGAAACCGAATAGCTTGCCATTGAGAGCACTGCCTGGCAAGCTTTACCACTGTTTGTCCAGCTAGGACAACTTAGTCGTTACGGCTTTGACTTGCAGGGGTTAACAGGAGATGAATGGGAAGAGTCCCTGCCCCTAGTGACTGGTCTGCCCATCCAATTCTTCCTGATGAGCCAACCTGGTCTATCACCAGCAGTGCCCTGGAGAACAGCAGACCCACCTGGCTCAGGAACCAGATATTGGGAGAGTAAGAGGCCACCACGAGTGAACAGCTGGTTAGCAAGGAGGTGAGGGGATGGGGTTTGGGGTGGAGAGACAAACAACATGAGGGGAAGCGGGTGCAGCTTCCTAATGGTGTCTCTCTCCACCGTCTTCTGGCTCTGACCAGGCCAGCTTTCTGCACATTTCCCGGGGGAGGAGAGAGAGAGGCCTTGTTTTGTGAACCCCAAGGGTCGGGAGGGATTCGGGTAGTAGCGGGACAGACAGACAGACAGACATCCGGGGTGGTAGTCACTTGATGTGCTCGGGCCCAGCTCCCGATCCAATCGCACGTGCCAGTTTGAGAGCCACTCGCCTTTCACACCTGCATCCTCACCCGAACCTCTTCACCCCAGTCCTCACCAGCCTCCACTGGCCTCCACTGTCTCCCAGAAGATCCATTTCAAGCTCCTAACCCTCACCTATAAATCGCTTCATTAAAATTCCATTTCCTATCCCACTCCTCTGCTCGCACCGTCCCCTCGGCTAGCTGAGGCCCCCCTAACCTCTCCATGCCACCACCAATATCTGACCCTTCAGTAACTGCACCCCTAACCCCCCAACCACCCTCCAGCTATCTCTCTGTCTTGCTCCTTCCCTACCAGTCTTCAAATCCCACCTAAAAACAGCCCCTTCAACCTACTTATGGCCTCCTGCCTTCTCCCCTCTCCATTGCTTGGTGTTTCACCCAGTTGCTGTGCAGCTCTCCTAGACGCTACCTATATGCCAACTGCAGTGTAACCGCACATTATTGCTGTATTCAGTCTTGTTCTCAATCCCACCACCCTGCCTTCTTCCTACATCACTTTTCCCCTACATTTAGTGCAACAAAGTGAAAAGGTTGTGTTAGTGGTGAGACCCATCTCTGGTAGAAGGGTGGGGGGGCAATTACATGTTAAGAGGGGTCCGACACGTGCACACCCATTCGCTTAAGCAAGGTCAGGAGGCGCGGGGGAAGAACGAGAGACCGGACAGGAAGCGGGTGGACAGAGGCCTGACTCAACCACATCTACAAGGGCAAAAGAAAACAAGGAGAGAGACTTACCTCGTAGAATGCTTTGAGTTTCTTATGAAGGGGAGGGAATGTAAAAAGCACAGCAATCAAACTCCACAGCAGACAGTGAACACGGCGTCTCAATGAAAATTAACAGTCATGCAACAAAAGCCCTTCAACGTGAGCCAAATTTGTGATCTTTGACCTGAATTTCTGACCTTCGACCTGAATTGTTGACCCTTTGACCCAAACTGCTGACCCTTTGACCTGAATTGTTGACCTTTAACCTGGTCTTCCCTGGATCTCAACTTCCCCACCCCATCTGTGTGCTTGATCCTCATTCACGCCTTCATTACGTCCAGGCTCACCAGACTCTTCACTCCACAAGCTGCAGACCACCCAAAACTCTGTAGCTCATGCCCTTCTCCGCATCAGGCTCTGCGTCACCCCAATCCTTGCCCGGTTCCACTGGTTCCCATCCCTCAGATACTCAAATTCGCCTTCAAATCCCTCTCGGCCCATACCCTCCCTCTGCAACCTCCTCAAGCCTTACCAAACTGACTGTTGCCACACGAAACTGGTTCATTTAAATCTCTGCCATGAACCAAATTGTGTTAACTGTTTCTTCCCCCCATGCCACTTAATACTCAGACAGCCCAAGTGTTTATCCATCACCCTTCAGTTAAAGCAATATTGAGCAGAACGCCTGACAAACCAGAGTGGCCCTCCGACCTTTCACCTCCAAGCCATCGAAGGTCAAAGGTTGCAAATTCTGGCCCATGCTTAAGGCACCACAGTTAAACCACAACACACATTGTCTGAAGTTTCCATCTGACAATGTGTATTGAGATGACAATTACTGGGACAAGTGGTTCTTGTGAAAGGAAATTCTGAAATAAAACAAAGACAGTTCATGCAAACTCACATATTTCTGTCCAAATCACCGCATGGTGGGTGGGTGGGGGTGGGGGGTGGGGGGTGGGGCTGGGGGCTTTCCAGGCCCTGGAGGTAGTGCAGAGGAGAGCAACGAGGATGGTCCCCAGTGTTAGAGGGATGAGCTATGAGCAACTATCTAAGGGCAACACTAAGGCACACTCACATCACATCCGATCATGTGAATGGTTTCTCAATGCATGTTGTTCCACTGGGTGGGATATCCCAGCTTATTACTAATAAAATAATAATCCTTGCATTTGATATAGTGCCTTAGAACATTAAAACATCTTGAATCTTTGCACAGTCAGACTGCTTAATGAGACATTAAACTGAGCTCCCGTCTATGCCTGATCAAGTGGATGTTAAAGGTCCGGTGGCGCTATTTGAAAAGAGAAGGGAGTTTCTTTTTCCCATTGTCCTGGCTGACAATCCCCCGGATAAAATTAGCCATTCATTTCATGGCTGTTTGTTGGAAGTTGCTGTGTCCTGATGATATGATAAGGCACTGTATTAAATGCCGGGATTATTATCGGGTTATTGTTATGAATATTGATACACTGAGCAGCTCAACTAACATAGACCTGACGTAGACCAACGTGGGGTAAAATCCCGAGATTGTTAGGGGCAAAATGTAATTGTCAGGTTAGAGCTGTTTTCACCCTCTCTATTCCTGGGACTACATGCCGAATATCAATTATTCCCTCCTTCTACTGCGTGTCTGTGCCGTACAATTCAGACTAATGTTGGTTTGGCAATTGCGGTTTGTGCACAGCTCGTGTGTGACACTGACACGGACTGGGAAGCAACGAGTGGGGAGAGAGAGAAGAGGCTCCTACCTCAAATTCCTGGGCAAAGCCAGCACTGGTATGAAGGGTGGCGACGTGCGCTGGAAACTCTTTGATGGGAATAGCCTCCAGCTCACCTGGAGAAGATAGCAAAAGGTCTTTCACCGCTCCCTTTCCACCGACTCCTTATAAACAAAACAATCTGGGCCGTCAGAGACTTACGAAGATTTACACAGACCGTGCAAGACAGAAACAGCACCTCAGCCCAAACAGTCCGTGCCAGTGTTTATACTCCATGTGAGTCTTCATCCACACCCTACTCCCTCCCACACCCTTCTATTCCCCTCTCACGCATGTGAAGGTCTAGAGTCCTCTTGAACGCATCTACACTAACTGATTCAACCACTGCTTCAGGCAGCGAGATCCACAATCTCACTATCCTCTGCATGAAGAATTCCTCCTAAATTCTTTTAGATTTCCTAGACCTTATCTCATATTTGTGGAAGCAGCCCATTTATGTTAGCCTTATCAAACCCTTTTGTAATTTTAAACACTATTAGGATCCCTCTTAAACATCTCTTTAAAACATTAGAGTAAAACTTTCCACAAAAGAGGTTAAAGGCCTTTATGTTTTGTATTGTTTTGCTCAGCCGAGTGGTTGGGACTTCATTGCTCACACTTTTTAATGGACACGAGTGAGGCTGGTTCACGGACAAGTGCACTGACCTGAGATGGACAGGACTGCGGAGGGCGAGCTGGACACCACTCGCGGGGAGGCGTTGTCTTCCAGATAAAAGTGCGCTGTCTGGAAGCACTTCCTGGAGAAGCAAAAATTATCAACCAAAGTAACATCCCTTGTGTTTTTCCTCATCCTCGGTCCTCGCCAACTGTCACCTCATTCCTCACCACCTCCTGCCGTCCTCATTATAATAAAACCATCCTTCTATTTCACACAGTTTGCCAATTTGCGCATAGCAACGTCTCAAACAGCCATGAAGTGAATGACTGATTTTATCTGGGGGATTATTGTCCAGGACACCGAGAGAAACTCCCTTCTCTTTTCCAATAACAATGTGGGAAATATACTTGATCAGGCATTAATGAGATCTCAGTTTAATGTCTCATCTGTAGGACCACGCCTCTGACAATGTGCCCCATCCCCGACCCCACCCCAGCACTGCACTGGTGCATCAGTCTGGAGTGTGAGCTCAAATTGTCAGAGTGGGGCTTGAACTCACAATCTGCTGACTCAGAAGTGACAGCATGAGTGACTTAGCCAGGCTGACACACAATGCCGGCTGTCCTACACATGCGGAAACCTAACACAGGGATCAAGAGTATCCAAACCAAACTGAGAATTCCATGCATGGAAATGTTGGAATCGAATGCACACTTTCTCCCTAGAGGGACACACTCTGCTGCCTAATTCCGGAGAGTCACTGACACAGGTTAGTGAGAGTCAAGGCTTGGGGACCCCAGAGTGTGTGTTGGAGTAACTTCTGGAGTTTAACCAGCTAAAACCACATAGCTTGCCATTGAGATCGTTGAGGGCTAGCTTCCCATAGCTTGTTCAGCTAGGATCTCCCTGTCCTTTAGGGCTTTGGCTTGCAGGGTTAATGGAAGCTGAATGGTTAATGGAAGCCCCCAGTGACTGCCTTCCAAATACTGCAGATGAGCCAGGCTGGGCTGCGCTGTCATCAGCAGTTCCCTGGAGTACTGCAGACTCACCTGGCTGAAGAACCAGACAAGAGACCATCACAGAGGGTGGACTCGATTTTGATATTCTTTGCCAGAAACGTCAGCTTTGAGCAAGCTCACCTCCCTTATACCTGAAGAATGAGCCCGAGGATGATTTACTGAATAGCAAGCTGCACGGACAGAATTTGCTGTCCATCGATTAGGTTGTATCAGATCTTACGAGAGGATATAAAGGGGTAGAAGAGGCAAGCGGAAGACACAAGCAATCTTGTATTTGCTCAGCATGTGATACACAGTAATCCTCCTCATCCAATGTAACCAAAAATCCTTGTACAAACTCAACTATAATCTCCCAAACACCTTATTATGTAGGGGAAAAAAATCAGGATATTGACTTATCACCCCCATGCTCGCCTGGCTCCATTGGCTCCCGTCCCCCAAAGAATCCGGTTCAAGATCCGCATCATTAAATTCCTCTGCGGTTTCAACTCGGCCCTATGTCTGCAACCTCCGCAAACCCCACAGAGCTATACAGAGAGATACTACATCAATGTAAGTTGTATTGAATTGTGCACATACCTTTTTGGAATTTTCTGGGCCAACATTAATGCCGAATTCTTTACGAATATAATAGTTTTTGAGGACTTTAGAGACGTCAGTAAAGGTTTTACCAAAGTCTTCGCTGAAAGACAATCCAGCCAGTTAGAAATTCAACCAAACTTCACTCAACAATTTACAACAATAATAATAAAACAGTCATCATCATCCCTCCATTTGATTTGGTATCTACAATGTCAATATGTTTCAAAGCACTTCCAGATTACACTGTAACATGTAGTGACTGTGTATTTTGTAGGCGAACCGGCAGCCAATTTGCACATAGCAATGTCCCACAAACAGCCATGTGTGAGTGACCAATTTTACTGGGGGATTATTGTCAGGGACCCGGGAGAGAGAAACTCCCTTTCTTTTTCAATAGCGCCGTGGATCTTTATCGTCCCCTGAACAGGCAAGGACCTCAGTTTAAATGTCTCATCCGAAAGACACACTTCTGAAATGCAGTGCTTCCCCAGGACTGCACTGGGGTATTAGCCTGGACTCCAATCTCACTCGGAATGGATCGAGGGTTACTTGGAGTGGATTGGATAACCCGAGGAGGGAAAAGTTGCTCTTACCTTCTGTATAGCCGAGAGGCTCCATTAAAAA